AGTGACTAGCATAATGCAACGAGGGTTTCTCAGCTCTCCCATTGCGGGGAGTCGCTGAATCGCCTAACGATGAGCGAGGTGTTGAGGTACTCCCTCGCTTGGGTGACCATTCCATTGGCGGAGACCGTCCAGGCATTGACCCACAAGATGGAGCGGGTCAGGTCGAAGCCCTTGGTGATCACAGTGGGGCTGAAGGAGGTGACAGAGTCGGGGACGAAGAGGAAGGTGTCATCTGACGTGGTGGACGAGACGCCGGTGAGGAGGCGCATCAAGAACTTGGGGGATGAAACCATCACTCCAGGTTGGGGGTGAGGATGCAGTGAATGTCATCGCAGAATTGAAGGACCTCGTATAGGGTGCACACCACCGCCCGATTTGCGGGTTCACGGTCCTCTAGATGCTGAAGAAGAAAATGAAGTTTTTCTGCTAACCTTTCCTTTGGTTCAGTGGAGAGAGAGAGAGAAGAGGGAGAGTTCTAACAGTCAATGATGTGGCACTTGGGCGAGGGTAAGGGGAGAGAAAATGTCAAACGATAAAAAAAAAAAAAAGACATAGACTTTAACGGTGTAAATTGAACGGAAACCTAACTGCGGGGCAAATTTGGGAAATCATTAGAAGTTTATGATTTTTTATGGAATAAAAAAAAGTTCGGGATAGATTTGGATCTAAACCTAAAATTGGGAGTTTCTTAGAGATTAGGCCTTCACATTTTAGGTAAGATGCTTTTCTCAGGGTTGATGTCAATTTTCCCCTGGCTGGGCTCATCATAGTGATTGGGATTGGCTTTGTTGGAGATTAGCAGGACACTTTAATCACATGAAGTAATTATTTTCCTACTTGGAAGGAGAGGATTAGGCAATTTGGGCATAATCACCGAAGGGCTAGAGTTTCTATAGACCGAGAGCCTAGCAAGTTTTAATAGTTCTACCAATCACTTATATGGAGTTCTAATTTGCAAATATGCAATTTTGACTTAACAACAGTCGAGACATGTTGGGTAAATTCGGGGTTCCCCAATTTCACATAGGTCTCCATCGAAAAATGGCGATATGGTCATCATGCATAAAAATTTCCACATAAGTGAGCCTTGCAAATACCATTACCTTCGTCAACTGTCACGTATGACATTGTAATGGCGAAATTAGATGGAATTGTAACAGACGGTAAATTTGAGGTAATGGTATCACTTTGAGGGTTTTTATGGGTCAAAATATATTTAGGTAAATGTGTTCAATCAATATCAGTTTGTGATTGTCTGTTATGCTAATCCTAATAACATAGATATATTGTTTATTTTCTTCTACTCCGTTGGAAGAGTCGAGTCCCATTTCATTGGGCAAGCGAAAATGCCAAGTGATTTCCTCGGAGAATACTGGTAAAGTCAAGTTCATACTAGGATTGCCTTTGTATTCTTCATTGGGTCACCCTAAAGTTCATTCTCTTTCTCACTTTCCATCCCATTAATCACCCTTCGTTTAAGTCTTGCCGGCCCGAAGCCGTCGTCCATTCAACACGCAAAATTCGAGGAAGTGGAAATGATATTGCCAATCACTTTCTGAACTCCAGAAATTTCTCTGATTGTGATGGTGCGTGTGGGGCTCCTAAACCGAAAGGGAGACCCCCGGCAGATAAGCAAGTCAATAACCTTACTATTTTTAGCCGAATCATTGCCTTGACAAGCTAGTCCATGGATCCAGCACTATCTTCATCGCCAACAAACCCAGGAATCCACTTAAGGGGAAAGAGAGGCAAAGAAGGAAAAGCCAACCGGAACAATTTCCAAAAAAAAAATAAAAAACTTAGGCTCTATTTGTTTCGCGAAAAATGTAACGTTTGTGGAAAATATTTTTCAGAAAGCCATTTTCCTGAAAAATGACACATTTTCGGTGATCGGCTAAAATATGAAAAAGAAACGGAAAATATTTTCCGCCGTTTGTTATGGAAAATCTAACTTGATTTTCCTTCATGCACTACTTTTAATAATTTTTTTCTATTTTTTTAAATAATTTTTTTAATTATCTTTTTTCTTTTCTCCTTTTCTTTCTTTTTCCTTTTTTTTTTTCACCATCTTCTCCGGCCACTGAGAGAAGCAAGTTCAGCTTTAATCATATGCAATGTCTGCATAATCACCAAAGGGCAAGATTTTCTACGGACCGAGAGCTTAGCAAGTTTTCATGGGTCTATAAATCACTTATATGAAGTTCTAATTTACAAATACGCAAATTTTGATTTCACAACGGTGGTAACAAGTTGGATGGATTCGGATTTCCCCAATTTTACATGGCCCGCGTTGAAAAATGACGTTATAGCTCTATGATGCATTTCCATATAAGATTTTTCCATGCCCTCATTTGAAACTTCCCCTAAGTTTTTGCAACATTAGGGCCAAAAAGGCTAGGCATCTCGCGATCATCATCATGAAAACTCATCATCCCGGTGTTGACATTACTTATATATTACCCATTTGCAGTTCTTTGACAATGGGAAATAATAAAAGAAAAAAATTATTTTTATTCCTATATTTTCACGCATTTTGAGATCAAATCCTTGCACTTTTAATTTGTTTGATCAAATCTTTCTATTTTTACAAATTTTCTAATCAAGTCCCTTCTGCACCAAATCTGGTTGACGTGGCCGTCAGATGTCGTCATATTATGATATGGATAAAGTTTTTCTAATGTAGACGTCCACTTGGGCTTCCACATTGGCTAAATTTTACGCACAACATATTTCAAAGTTGTCTTCATTGGCTAAATTTTTCCATACATATCCACGTGGAGACCCGCATATTCTATTTGCACCGTACTTTAGCATCGTCCGATGGTCACTTCAATGAAATGTGGTCCGATTTAGTTTAAGTTGGAACTTAATTAGAGAATTTGTGAAACAGGACTTCATTAGACAAATTTAAAATATGTGAATTTGATTCGGGAAAATGTGGAAGTATTTGGACAAAAAGTAGTTTTTTTTTCCAGATAATAATAAACTATTTAAGCTAATGATGATTCTATTAATCGGGTAATTGCATCCTAAGCAAGCTGTACTTTGTCCAACAGCATTCACATGTAATCACTAACCTGCACAATGTCTGTAATTCACAAGTTTTAAGTATCTAGAACGTCGACTATATCTCTTGTGAAAAGTGTAACATATAATTAAGCTTAGGGAACCCAATGTGAATTTCAATTCGATTCAGAATTAAATAAAAATTCAAGAAGATTTAGCAAATTAAGAAAAAAAAATTATAATTCAGTGATAGGAGAGCTTTAGAACGGACGAAGTTGGCTAATCTAAAGAATTGCTCAATGGGTATTATTTTCTTCGTTAAAAGTCTAAATTCAAATCGTAATATCTGTGCGTGGCAGATCCTGGAATCTCGTTGGGGGGACGAATTTAGCCTTTAAGGAACTATTCGCACAAATTCTGAACTAAGTAATCGTATAATAAGAAGTATAGATGGTGGGGGCCCATCCAATTTTTCTTACTCAATTTTTCACCTTCTTCTCTTTTTTTTATCATTTTCGATGTGTCACGAAATGGTTGGCATTGGACCCCATGCCAAAAGTCGGCAATGCTGTTGGGGACCGCGTGAAATTGGATAATTAAATCAAATCACATACTATAATGATGTATACGAATTCTCATCTAAATGGTTTCTTTTAATTCTTGGATTGTATCAAACTAGCTTATAGTAAATTAAATGAATCTTCTTTTCTCTGCATCTGTTATTGCAAACGCGTAAAAACTATCACAAAAATAAGAGGATTATTGCCAACCAGACAATTCAATTACATCGGATCATCCAAATAATCATTGAGGCAACATTAGAACATCAATTACTTTAACACTTAGGTTTCTCGACATGGAAATATCTTTTAATTTTGCCCTTATGACGCCTAATTAAACGTTTCGATTGGGCATCACACTTCACACATCACCAAATGCAAAAGTGTACTCTCAATTTTTTTTCTCATAATTAATAATTTCTTTTTTGACGATTTGCCTATTAATCGAGTAACGGACATATTTATGAATCGGACGTGACGTGCATGATTCACAAACTTTTGATAGTGCGTGTGGGGCTCCTGATTGTGAATTGTGATGTTGAGTGTGGGGCTCTTAAACGCGGTTTCCGCACGAAGAAGACTAAAGTCAGAAAGAAACACGAGAAATAAATGGGCTTAATTCCCTAAAAAATCTCAAACTTTAGGTTAAATTTCAAATCTGTCCTGAATTTTTTTATCTTAAAAAAACTCCAAACTTTATGTCCAGTCCCAAATCTACCCCGAACTTTTTTTGTCTTAGAAAAACCCCAAACTTTAAGTTCAGTCCAAATCTCCGAATTTTGTTTTGTTTAAAAAAATCACCAAAATTCAATTATTTTCAAAAATATACCCTGGTAATCTAGTCCCAACTTGACGTGGTACTTTCATGTCGATAATAAATCCACATCAACAAAATAATTGGGCTTTTTTTAGACAAAGAAAAGTTCGGAGCAAATTTGGACTGAACCTAAAAATTAGGTTTTTTTTTAAATTAAAAAAAATTTTGGGTGGATTTGTTATCATCCCTAACTTTCATATCCTAGAATGGTTTTATTTTAGAGAATTTCAACAATTTTTATTTGATTTGATTTGTTATCGAAGTTAAAATGTGACGTCGATCTGTACCTATCGCCCCATTACTTTGTTGATGTGGATTTGTTATGACGTAGAAGTACCACGTCAAGTTGGGACTGGATCATGGAGGTACATTTTTTAAAATAAATTGAAATTTGCTGATTTTTTTTTTACATATAACAGAATTCGGGGCAGATTTGGGACTAAACGTAAAGTTTGGGGTTTTTTCTTAGACATAAAAAAGTTTGGGGCAGATTTGGGACTGGACCTAAAGTTTAGGGTCTTTTCTTAGACAAAAAAAAGTTTGGGGTGGATTTGGGACTTGACCTAAAGTTTAGGGTTTTTTAGGAAATTCACCCGAAATAAATGTGGACTCGGGCACAAATTCTACATCTGATCTGCGTCTAATTTTCTTTGGAACCCTTATCAGATAGTGAACATTCCTGAAGCACATCATTCATCAGCTCCTTCAATGGCTGCTTCTACGAATCCGAATAGGAATTACCATGTGTTCTTGAGTTTCAAAGGCGCGGACGTCCGCAACAACTTCCTCAGTCATCTCTACGCGGCTCTTGACCAGAAAGGAATACACACTTTTGTGGATCGCGAAGAGCTTCAGAAAGGAGAGGAAATATCGCCGGCACTCATGAGGGCAATTGAGGAATCGCATGTCGCGATCATCATTTTCTCCCAGGACTACGCTTCCTCGCCCTGGTGTTTGGAAGAGGTAACAAAAATCATGGAGTGCAAGGAGGGAAAGGGCCTGATTGTGTTCCCGGTGTTTTACAAAGTGGAACCGAGAGAAGTGAGAGGGGTCAGAGAGAGTTATGGGAGAGCTATGGCTAAGCATGAGTTCAAGTTAGGAAAGGATTCGGAGAAAGTGAAGAGATGGAAGAAGGCTCTCTTTGATGCCGGTAGCTTGTATGGGTGGGACCTAAATGGCAGGTAAGCACAAAAGTCAAAAAACCGAAACTTAAAGCTAACAAATTCTTTGAATTCGATTCTTGTTGTGTTGGTAATTAGAAATTCGTCTTAGATAAATTGTGTTTATGGTACCCGCGTCACTATTGTCTTCAGGAGCAAGGTCTTTGTAATTTTCCTTGCGCAGATGTTGACGCAGGTTCACCCAAATGTGTTATTTCTTTTCATCTTGTTATTTGCTAATCTTTTTATCAAAGTCTCTATATGACAATTAGAGGTTGAATTCCTGTTATAGCTTTGAAATGCCACATGTTTCTCTTTATGTTGAGTGATTATCAGAGATGAAGCGGAGCTCATACAGTGCATCGTAAAGAAATTATCAAGTCATCTCAACCATATACCCTTACATGTTGCTAAGTATCCAGTTGGAATAGATTCCCGAGTTCAAGAACTTATATGTTTGTCACAGAAAGAGTCAGCTGAGGATGATGTTATGATGATAGGTCTATGGGGACCCGGAGGCATAGGGAAAACAACAATTGCTAAGGCACTATATAATGCTATTGAGAGACAATTTCAAGGTTGTAGTTTTTTGGCGCAAGTTAGAGAAACTTCGAACCAAACCGATGGTCTAGTTGCTTTGCAAAAAAAACTTCTGTCTGAGATCTTATCTCATAGAGATTTAATAATCTATAGTGTGGACGGAGGAATTAGTTTGATACGGGAAAGACTATGTTCCAAGAAGGTTCTCTTAGTTCTTGACGATGTTGACCAGTTGGATCAACTCAATGCTTTAGCTAGAGAAGGCAATTGGTTTGGCAAAGGAAGTAGAATCATTGTTACATCAAGAGATAAACATTTGCTAACTTCTCATGGTATAAATTGTGTTTATGAAGTTGAAGCTTTAGAAGACAATGAAGCACTAGACCTTTTTGGTCGGCATGCCTTCCCAAATAGCAAGAAAGTGGAAATCCGAAGGGATCTCATAGATAGAGCACTGCATTATGCTGACGGCTTTCCGTTAGCCCTGGAAGTGTTGGGCTCATTCTTACGTGGAAGAAAGGAAACTGCATGGGAAAGTACAATGCTTAAACTCTCCAAAATTCCTGAACCAACTATTAATCGAGTTCTCAAGATAAGCTTCGATGCATTGGAGGACAATGAGAGGGAGATTTTCCTTGATATTGCTTGTTTCTTTAAGGGGAGAAGTATAGAATATATCAAGGAAGTTCTTGACAGCCGTGATTTTTACACAACTATAGGAATAGAAATTCTCATCGAGAGGTCCTTGATAAAAAATGAGTATGGGACCCTACAAATGCACGATTTGATTCAGTTGATGGGTAAGGATATTGTTAATCAGGAATGTCCCGATGATCCTGGGAAGCGCAGTAGATTATGGCTTTTCGAAGATGTTCGGGACATTCTATGTGAAGATATGGTAAAAGTTGTTTATGTCAATTTTTCTACATCTCAGTTTTTAAATTACTTTGATTTGGACAATATATTGCAAATCTCAACAGACATTTTGTGTGAATTTGCTCTGTTATGGATAGGGAACGAAAGCAATAAAGGCCATACTATTGGATTTGTCTACCCCAGAAGAGGTAACTATTAGTCCTAATGCTTTCGCAAACATGAAAAGGATGAGAATGCTCATTTTGAATGATGTGCATATCTCTTCACAAGGTCCCGTACGTCTCCCTAATGAGCTAAGTTGGCTCAAATGGCCCAATGCCCCGGATCTAGAATTTGGCTCTGGTCCAAAGAAACTCGTAAGACTCGATGTCCAGAAAAGTCATATTAGACAATTAGGGGGCAACTTTCGGGTAAGCCCTTGTGATGACTAGCTTTCCACTTTTATAGCTATAAAAATATTTACATAGCTTAATTACTGCACTAGTATGTTTTTGCAGAATTTTAGAACGTTGAAGTCCATCAATTTCAGTGAATGCAATTTCCTGGCTAGTGTTCCTGACCTTTCATCGGCTCCAAATCTGGAGAGGTTGGATCTTGATGGGTGCGAAAGCTTGGTGGAGGTTCACCAATCCGTCGGATATCATGACAAGTTAAAATATTTGTCGCTTCAATTGTGCTTTAATCTTAGTATATTTCCTAGTACACTCAAGACAAAATCTCTTCAAAAACTTTGTCTCTCTTGTTGTTCTAAACTTGAGAAGTTCCCCGATATTCTAGTAAAGATGGAACATCTAGAATATCTTGAGTTACAAGAGACAGCTATTAAAGAACTTCCTGCATCAATTGAAAATCTTGTTTCTGTGAAGAGGATCGATTTAGGAGATTGCAAAAACCTTGCAAGGCTTCCATCAAGCATCTACAAGTTGAAAAATCTCAAATTTCTAAGTCTTGAATGGTGCTCAAATTTTGTCATGTTTCCAAAGAACTTGAAGGATTCAACCGATCTTGATGGCGATATGGGATTCCAAAATCTATACGAGCTAAGACTTACCGGCTGCAATCTATCAGAAGTAGAGTTCCTTGAGAGATCTTCCAATTTTCCCCTATTGGAGTACCTACTTCTTGCAAATAACAAGTTTACTCATCTACCAACATGCATCAACAAGTATGATTATTGGAAAGACTTGTTTGTTGATAAATGCAAGCAAAGCAAGGGGGTCAATGTGGCTGATGTGTCAGCACTCTCTCTCTCTCTCTCTCTCTCTCTCTCTCTCTCTCTCTCTCTCTCTCTCATTTTTAATGCTTGATATGTGTCCTATCTATATGACAGAAACTCCTGAAGAGGACCGAAGTCCACATTCTCCTCAATGGAAGAGAGATGCCTGAATGGATTCTCCACTGTAAAGGGGATTCCTTATCGTTCATGGTTCCCCAAGACTTGTACGACAAGTTCCTAGGACTAACACTCTGTTTTGTTCTCGGCCCGGAGCAAGGAAAAGTGGTCCATCATGCTTCATATGTGGTCGACATACTTGTTAATCATGACCGGCGAGTGTCTTCGTGTTCATACCGGAAGTACTTTTATCCATTGGAATCCGATCATGTGTGGCTTCTATATTTCCCACGCAATACACTGATTGAAGGACAAGATTATCTACGAAAGGATTTGAACCATTTCCAAGTTGAACTCAGAGCGTCGAAAGGAAGCGTAAAGAAGTGTGGATTCCGTCTAATATGCAAGCAACAGGAGGATGATCTGAGGGTCGTGCTCCAACACCATCAGCCGATAGAAAGAAATTGGGTTTTCGAGCAAGGAGACTCAGAGGAAGACATTTTAATAGACACCGAGGAAGAAGATAGTCCAGTGAAACAGAACTTAACAAAGAAGATGAGATTGGTCTTAAACCATGGCGAGAGTATGGCTTGCAAAACATGCCTGTCGAATTGGTCACGACATCTGTCCAAAAAAAAAGAAAAGAATTGGTCACGACTTTGTTGAGGAAGTGATTATAGGTGATTTTGATTCCAATGCCTCTTGCTTTTCCTTCAATGTTAATTTAAAGTCATGCTACTGAGATGGTTGAGGAACTGTTTCTTCCCCTCTCGTTTTCTATGATTTGTGATGCAGAGTGCACTAATCCAACAATGAGTGGATGGTTGTTGAAATTGAATGGCCATGCCCTTCCATGTTCTATGAAATTTATCGCATAGATCTCCGTCACCTCTCTTAATACAATTGACGGCGCCAATACTCCATGCTCTAAAATTCTGAGATAGTAAGTTTTGTTCAATCTACCATTATCTATAAACGATATATCCTTCATTTCACATATTATTACAATGAGAGCGACACTGCCCACAGGAAATAAGTAACGCTGCCCGAAGCGATATATAGACTCAATTTAGACATGGAAACGTTCCCATTTATCGGCCTCTCCTAATTCCTGTGATTTATTTTGAATTAGCAACGTTCAAGAGAAAAATGGGCGAAGCAATGTCGGGCAACTTCTCAAGCAAAATCTTGGACCGACCGGAATTGAAACAATCTCAAGTTAACTCCACGAAAGGACCCTCCAAGTATGGGCCGATTCTCTTGCTGATCCTCTACCTTAATTGGAAGTTTGGAACATGAATGAAAATATGGAGTTGGATTCTTTATCAATTTCGTGAACTTTTCTTTTACTACTTTTTTTGAAGTCTTTTGTTCCCGGCATAACTGTTTTTTTTTTTGTAGTATTTCTAACTTTTAAACGAACTTTAGACCAGAGAAATTAATCCTGTGTGTTGTAGTTAATTGGTGTGTTGATTCAGATGATTCTACTTTCGAAAATGTTATAAAAATTCTAATAAAAGCATTTGCCAAACTCTTGAATGCAGGATTTGGCATCAGCTGAGCTTGAAGTGAACTTTTATCGCATCCCAAGTTTATTATTCTTTTTTTAAATTATCAAAATGCTTTCAACGTGCTTTTACTACCTTTAGTAGTCTTAGAGACACGTTAACAAGACATTTATGTCAATTGTAATAAAACTCTTAAAAATCTGTTTCGCTCTTAAATTAGATGAAAATCTATCGGGTAATTTCCATAAATTCAACTCCCAACTCTTTTCAGAGTAAATAATAATGCCATAGTTACTTAGAAGTGGAATCGACAAAGGAGATCACTTGACGGATTGAGAGCCGTTGAGCTCACCATTTTGATGAAAAACGGCAAACAAAAAAAAATCAGACAATTTTCTTTTCCGTAACACTTTTAAAGCAATACTAAACTTTCTTTGAGGAACCATATAAGAAAATGACACTCAACTAAAAACCTATCTGAACTTAATTGTTAGGAGATATCTTGGCCAAAAAAATCAACCACCAATTAATTAATATCTATCTACCCGTCGTTTTGATTGAAGAAAAATGTCAAAAGTAGAGCGGTCTTGATTTTGAATCTTGCATCAGGGAAAGCCACATCCATGACTTCGAGCATCCTCAATTATGTCAGGACGGGCCAGGCCTTGTTCTAGATGATGACTGTTTGACAATGTTTGTCATTCTATAGATATCATCGAGAGTTGGTCCTGAGCAAGACTTTAAAAGGCTCAAGGAGAAAATATGGCGAAGGGACACCCCGGTATGGAGGGAGCTCCTTCTCATGTTCTCTTCATATTCCCTCCCTTCAGGAAAGAAAAAGATTTGAAGAGAACATGGGGCCTTTTGGATGGTGAAAGTAGACACTACGTCAACTTCGATTGGCTATCTTCGGGTAGGCAAGTGTAATAGCCTCTCACGCCTGGAATAACAAAAAGGGAAGTCTCTACTTCCTGCAGTTCTGCTTGTGCTTCGCACAAGTCTGTCAACCGACTGGCAAACCTGTAACCCAGTTGACAAACTTGTGCGGTTCAAAAAAATCAAAGAAAGAGAGGAAAAATGAAGAAGGAAAAAGGAATTGGGTATATTTTCATTTGTGAATTTTGCAATTAGCTCCAATACTTTATGGTTTTTAGTAAATAGTTCTCTTTGTTTTTTTTTTCCATTGGTAATAATCTGCTTAATTTGTAGTACATAAGATGGAGCAATTGATATGCATGCAACCCGAACTAACTGTTTTTTTTATTGTATAAGTTTTTTCTGTTTGTTGTTTTGATTCAGGGATACAAGCGCGCAGAGAGAGAGAGAGAGATTAGGTTTTAGGTTTTTTTTTGTGGGAGTAATTTGGAAAAGAAAAGGCCAATTTAATGAGTAAGATGAAGAAGGAAAAAGGAATTGGGTATATTTTCATTTGTGAATTTTGCAATTAGCTCCAATACTTTATGGTTTTTAGTAAATAGTTCTCTTTGTTTTTTTTTTCCATTGGTAATAATCTGCTTAATTTGTAGTACATAAGATGGAGCATTTGATATGCATGCAACCCGAACTAACTGTTTTTTTTATTGTATAAGTTTTTTCTGTTTGTTGTTTTGATTCAGGGATACAAGCGTGCAGAGAGAGAGAGAGAGATTAGGTTTTAGGTTTTTTTTTTGTGGGAGTAATTTGGAAAAGAAAAGGCCAATTTAATGAGTAAGTAGAGATCATATATATATAACTTGAAGTTTAGTGATAAAACTCACAATGCAAGTCGGGGATTTTGGAAGTTTAGGATGAAAATTGATATCGATACGAAAAGTGAGGATGAGTGTATGTGAGGATGAAGTGGCCAAAGCTAGGAAGAGAGCAAGATCAAGTGGTGAGAAGATTATCCTAATTTTCTAGATTCTTTTTTGTTTTTGTGCTTAAGTAATCTGATGGTCAAATTTCACAAGCAATTGACTATTCTCTTTCCCTTTTCTACTCAGTCATTGTTGCTTGAAAACAGCTCACTCGATTTCAACTGTCGGGTTGTCTCTGAAAAATTAAGGAAAAAGATGAATCCCCAGACTACACGAGCTGACATTTGAGTCCGTGTTAGGAGCGCACGGCAGAAGCCCAATACCTTTCGCCTAGGGAGATCTCTAAAAAGGAGCCTAAGTCCAAGTATGTTAACATATTAGTTGGACTCATCTTTACTCAAAAACTTAAACTAGTGAGTTATGGGCCAACTAGGATATATTAACTATTCTACATCATATCAATTCTTCGATTTAAGATTTGTCTAAATCTCCTCTCACGTACATCCTAACATTCTGACTATGTGCATTTACTAGTTTGATCTTGGTTTGAGTTGACTTTCTTTTGAGACACATGTCAGTATCAAACTCCATTATAATTCAACCCCTAACTTCAAACAAAATTAAATGTAGTTATAATCACTTTAACATTATTAAATGTAGTTATAATCATTTTAATATTATTATATCACAGAAAGAGTCAATAAATAACTTCCATAATATAACATTAGGAGTCAGCCCATATTCATACAATATACAGTTAGGAGTACTAAAGTCTCATTCCCCTTATAAAAAGGTTTACTTGTTTTGTTCTCTTAGAATCATATAAGTGTGAAATATTATGTGTACTTCATTAACACAAATTAAGAAATAAAGATGTGGTTCATCTTTTTAAACCTATAATGATCAAGATAATTTTTTTCTTTACTTGCAATAGATAGAAATAAAGTCAAATCTTAATCTGCAAAGAGTTGATTGAATAGTTAAATGCTTGATTCATAAGACAGATTCGTTATTTATTTACGAAGTCACCATTTAAAATAACTTTAAGGGGTCATGTCTACTATTGTTCTATTGATGAAGTCTTGTCGCACGTGAGTAAGAGCATTCATGTGCATTCGTAAGGTTTAGTCAACTAAAGATTTGAATCCGTTTTTATAAAAATTAATTAATTTTTACTATACAAGTAATTTTATTTATCGTAAAAAATTCTCATTAAGTATGCCAAATTGAACATTTCATTTGAAAACTTAGCGGTTATGGGGAGAATCGTTTCACCTAATAAGGGTAAATCATTAGCTTGCGAAAAAGTATACATCTAATGTATTATTAAAGCAGAAAAAAGAAAGGAAAAAGAAAAAAAAAAAAAAACAAAGAAGGAGGGGCGGCCTGTCGGGCCCAAGGAATTGCATCGTGTCACTACTTTTGCAACGACTATTTTACATTACAACGATTAATATGGAAACCGATTTTACGACGTATTATGACGTTTTTTTAACTTAATTATGACTGAACATCATAAGGTTATACAGTATATCCAAAGTATCGTAAAAAGTACCCCTAACTTACAACTCTGTCTTTGAAGGAGAAAGAAAAAGTGACATTCACACTTTTTTTTTTATGAAAAAACAATAAGTTTTTCAATTATAACACAGAATTAGGTGAAAATTAAGCATGGATGTGCGAAGCAATATCGAACTTGAACTTGCCAAACTCGGCTCGATAACCTCACAAGCCTAATCAAGTTTAAGTTACCTTTTGTAGATTATTTAATACTTAAAAAAGTAGATATGAAAATCCTTAAAATCCCATTCTACATGAAATTTCGAGCTTGATATCTTGTATATTTAGCATAGTCAAGTTGAGTCAAGCAAGCTTGAATAGATTTTCTTTTCGAGTTGGGTTCGAGCGAGAAATTTAATATTCGATCGAGCTCAAGTCATATTTCAAGCATAGTATGTGAGTCAAGTTTGACATTGGGTTAACTCTGACACAATTCGATTGTGTCTCTACCTTGAGGGTTAAACCTAGGACCCTAGTGCTCACACCCAAGACCTCAAGGGTCAACTGCGGACCTTAGAGCCGGGACTAAAGACACTTGCCAAACAGGTTATCATGCGGGCCAAGCTCGAGACCCCACTCCTAGACTCGGGACCTCGGCCTTGGACTTGAGTTATGAACTATGGAACTATAAATGAAATCATCAATTTGTATTAGTGTACCGCCTGACAACTCCATAATATGAAATATTTAAACGAGGTTGCGCAAACAGGACCATGCAACAAGAGATTACTATAGTTTTAAAGAAGAAATAGATCTCACACTGTGTTTTTACTATCAAAACTTACTCAGAGAAACCCTAAAGCACCCTCAAGAGGCAATGTAATATTGGAATATTGGGCAAAACTGGACTTAAGTGCCATCTCCAAACCAGCGTTTTTAGGCCGGCAAAAGGGAGTGCAGACACGGTAGAGACACCGACTCAATAAGGGGGGCACCGCAACGCCTTTCCGTGAAATGTGGACTCGGGCACAATCTGCACTGTACTTGATTGTGATAGTGCGTGTGGGGCTCCTAAACCAGAAAGGAGAGACCCCTGGTAGTGGTCCAACTTTCTTTGGTCTTCGTTCCATTGCGAAAGTCATGCCCCACGAACAAAGTGATATATAGATAAGAGCTAGAGCTTGGAACCCCCATCAGATAGTTAACATTCTTGAAGCACATCATTCATCAGCTCTTATAATGGCTCCTCCTTCGAATCTGAATAGGAATTACCATGTGTTCCTGAGTTTCAGAGGCGCAGACGTCCGTAAGAACTTCCTCAGTCATCTCTATGCAGCTTTGGAACAGAAAGGAATACAAACTTTTGTGGATAGTGAGGAGCTCAGGAAAGGAGAGGAAATATCGCCAGCGCTCACGAGGGCGATCGAGGAATCGTGGGTGGCGATCATCGTTTTCTCCGAGGACTATGCTTCCTCGCCGTGGTGTTTGGAAGAGGTAGCAAAAATCATGGAGTGCAAGGAGGGAAAGGGCCTGATTGTGTTCCCGGTGTTTTACAAAGTGGAACCGAGAGAAGTGAGAGGGGTAAGAGAGAGTTATGGGAAAGCTATGGCTAAGCATGAGTGCAAGTTCGGGAAGGATTCGGAGAAAGTGAAGAGATGGAAGAAGGCTCTCTTTGACGCAGGTAGCTTGTCTGGGTGGGACTTGAATGATAGGTATGCACAAATGCGATGCAGTGCTTTGCGATTGTCAGCTCATGATTGTTTGTTAGATGTCAAATCGTATGTATATGTTCGAATTGCCACATCAACTTCTTTGAATTTGTTGTAGACACAAAAGTCGAATAACCAAAATTTCAAGCTAACAGATTCTTTAAATTCGATTCTTGCTGTGTAGATAATGAGAAATTTTTGTCTAAGATAAGTAGTGTGGTTCCTAGAATCCGAGTCATTATTGTCCTCAAGCACAGATTTTTTGTAATTTTCCTTCTGCAGATGTTGGCGCAGGTTCACCCACTTTTCATCTTTTTTTTTTTGGTGTAAAATGTAAGTAGTATATAACAGAAGATGTACAGCAGCTTAGGGGCATTCCCCGGCATTACAACTAGTACTAATAATTCGAGAATATGGAGGTAGGAAGTCTCCATAAAGTAGCTAAAACAAAGTTAGCTTGCGAAGGTTTGATTTTTTTGTATAGTGAAGCTCTACCTCTTACATTTTTCCGCACCTTCGCCAAAATAATCTAAATGTCGGTTGGATTGTTTTGAAACCGCCTATGGTTGCGCTCCATCCAAGTGCAATATACATTAGCTAGGAAAGATACTTTGAGGAGTTTCGCTGCCAAATCTTTGCCTCTTGTTGCTCTAACCATCCATTGAAGCTCCTCATTCCATCCCCATACATTACGCCTAATCCCATGTTGCGCAAGAATATTGCGCCGATGCTACCTGTCCATTCGCATTGAAGAAAAGGTGAGTCGTGTTCTCTATACTTGCCCTACGTAAGGTACATTGAACATCGATCAAGTCATCCACCGTGATATGATCTCTGCTCGTCGGAAGCCTATCCCTACATACTAGCCAACCAATAAAATTGTGTTTGTTAACGCCGCTACTCCATATTAAGTTATACCACTCCACAGCCGGACTCTCGTGTCTAAGTTCATCCAAGACATCATGACAACAATATCTTGGATTAGACATGACTGGGGTTAGGACATGACGTAGTTTATGACCCACTTTTCATCTTATTATTTATTAATCTTATATGAAATTTTCCTTACGGTGTTAGAGGATTAATTCCTTCCATGGCTTTGAAATGGTAAAAAATGTGTCTCTTTCTTTTGAGTGCTTATTAGAAATGAAGCGGAGCTCATACAATGCATCGTGAAGGAATTATCAATTCGTCTTGACCGAACACCCTTACATGTTGCTAAGTATCCGGTCGGAATAGATTCCCGAGTTCAAGAATTGATATGGTTGTCACAGGAAGAGTCTACTACTGATGAAGTTTTGATGATAGGTATATGGGGACCTGGAGGCATAGGCAAGACAACGATTGCTAAAGCCTTATATAATGCTTCTATTGAGAGACAATTTCAGGGTTTCAGTTTTTTGGCGCAAGTTAGAGAAACTTCGTTCGAAAGCAATGGTCTAGTTGCTTTGCAGGAAAAACTTCTATCCGAGATCTTATCTCATAGAAATTTAACGGTCTATAGCGTTGACAAAGGAATTAGTTTGATAAGGGAAAGACTATATCGCAAGAAGGTTTTCTTAGTTCTTGACGATGTTGACCAGATGGATCAATTGAATGCATTAGCTGGAGAAGGCAATTGGTTTGGAAAAGGAAGTAGAATTATTGTTACATCGAGAGATAAACATTTGCTAACTTCTCATGGTATAAACTATGTGTATGAAGTTAAAATTTTAAAAGACGATAAAGCACTAGACCTTTTTGGCCGGTATGCCTTTCCAAATAGCAAGACAGTTGAAATAAGAAGGGATCTCATTGATAGAGCACTGCATTATGCTAACGGCCTTCCGTTAGCCCTCAAAGTATTGGGCTCATTCTTATGTGGAAGGACGGAATCTGCAAGGGAAAGTACATTGCATAAACTCTCCAAAAGTCCTGACCAAACTATCAATCGAGTTCTCAAGACAAGCTTCGTTGGATTGGAGGACAACGAGAGGGAGATTTTCCTCGATATTGCTTGTTTCTTTAAGGGGAAAAGTATAGAATACGTCGAGAAAGTTCTTGACAGCTGTAATTTTGACACAACCATAGGAATAGAAATTCTCATTGAGAGGTCCTTGATAAAAAATGAGAATGAAACCCTGCAAATGCATGATTTGGTTCAGTTGATGGGTAAGGATATTGTTAATCAGGAATGTCTCGATGATCCTAGGAAGCGCAGCAGATTATGGCTTTTTGAAGACGTTCTAGACATTCTATGTGAAGATAAGGTGAAAGTTATTTATGTCAATTTTGCAACATCTTAGTTTTTACATTACTTTGATTTGGACAGTACAATGTAAATCTCAACTGGAAATTTTGTCTGACAACTGAATTTTCTCTATTATGAATAGGGAAAGAATGCAGTAAAGGCCATAGTATTGGACTTGCTCGCACCAGAAAAGATAACCATTAGTTATGATGCTTTTACAAACATGAAAATGTTGAGAATGCTCATTTTGCTTAAAGTGCATATCTCTTCACAAGGTCCTATACGTCTCCCTAACGAGCTAAGATGTCTTGAATGGCCCAATGCCCCGGATCTAGAATTTGGCTCCGGTCCAAAGAAACTCGTGAGACTAGATGTCCAGAAAAGTCATATTAGACAATTAGGGGGCAACTTTCAGGTAAGCCCTTGTGATGATTAGCTTTTTATCACCATAAAATATTTGCAGAGCTTAATGACTGCACTGGTATGTTTTTGCAGAATTTTAGAACGTTGAAGTCCATCAATTTCTGGGAATGCAAATCCCTTGTTAGTGTTCCTGACCTTTCGTCGGTTCCAAATTTGGAGAGCTTGTTTCTTTATTGGTGCGAAAGCTTGGTGGAGGTTCACCAATCCATTGGATATCTTGAGAATTTAAAACTTTTGTGTCTAGTAGGCTGCTCAAATCTTAGTATAGTTCCTGGCACGCTCAAGACAAAATCTCTTCAAGAGCTTCGTCTCTCTTGTTGTTCTAAACTTGATAAGTTCCCTGATATTCTAGGAAAAATGGAACATCTAGAATATCTTGAGTTACAGGGAACGGCCATTAAAGAACTCCCTACATCAATTGAAAATCTTGTTTCGGTGAAGAGGATAGGATTAGGATATTGCAAACACCTTGAAAAGCTTCCGCCGAGCATTTATAAGTTGAAAAATCTCAAGTCTTTGAGTCTTGAAGGGTGCTCGAATTTTATGATGTTTCCAAAGAATTTGAACGATTCAACTGATCCTCTTGGTGACCTCGGATTCCAAAATCTAGACGAGCTAAGACTTAGTGGCTGCAATCTATCAGAAGTAGAGTTCCTTAATAGTTCTTCCAGTTTTCCCAAATTTGGGTGCCTACTTCTTGCAAATAACAAGTTTACTCATCTGCCGACATGCATCAACAAGTATGATTATTGGAAAGACTTGTTTGTTCATAAACGCAAGCAATTACAAGAGATTCCTCAGCTTCCATCAAATATGTGCATCGTAGAAGCAAATAGTTGTAATTCTCTGCAGAAACTCCCAAATTTGTCGAGTCTGCCCTCTAATTGTCTTGAAGTTGACATGTCTTCATGCTGCGAATGCAAAGGGAGCAATGTGGCCAATGTGTCATCACTCGAGGTCGGACTCTCTCTCTCTCTCTCTCTCTCATATTTTGAATGCTTTCTTGTCTGTAGCTCTTCTGTTCCAACATTCTTCTCACTGTAGATAGAGAAAGTCTTCTGGCCGGTGTGTTACCTCATGGAATATAGTGATACTGTGTACTATCTATATGACAGGAACTCCCGAAGAGGAGTGAAGTCAACATTCTCCTAAGTGGAAGAGAGATGCCTGAATGGATTCTCCACTGTAAAGAGGGTTCCATATCTTTCATGGTTCCCCAGGAGTTGCATGACAAGTTCCTAGGACTAGCACTCTGTTTTGTCTGTGGCCCGGAGGAAGGAGAAGTGATCGATCATGCTTCATATGAGGTCTACATACTTGTTAATGATAGCCTGAGAGCATCTTCGTACGCGATGAACTTTTATCCATTGGAATCCAATCATGTGTGGCTTATATATTTGCCACGCAGTATACTGACTAGAGGACGTGATTATCTGCGAAAGGGTTGGAACCATTTCCAAGTTCGCCACAGATTACCGAAAGTAAGCTTAACGAAGTGTGGATTCCGTCTAATATGCGAGAAACAGGAGGATGATCTGAGGGTCGTGCCCCAACACCATCAGCCGATGGAAAGAAATTGGGTTTTCAAGGAAGGAGACTCAGAGAAAGCCAATTCAATGGACACCTGAGGAAGAAGATAGTCCAAGTGAAACAGATGTAGAGGAAATCTCATCACTTTTAACAGAGAAGATAAGATGGTCTTGAACTATGGCAAGATTATAGGTGATTTTGATTCCCGACTTGTCGAGGAAGTGATTCTTGGGGGAAGCGAACCGGGTGATTTTGATTTAAATGCCTTTCGCTTTTCCCTTTTCTGGGTCTTTACTAGAACTTTGGAAATGTCTGCTCCTTGATTAGAACTCAAAATCACTGTAACACAGAGGTTTCACGTCATGCTGCTGACATGGTGGAGGAACTCTCCTTCTTCTTTTTTGCCTCTGCTTCTTTATGATTTGTGATGCAGAGTGCATTGACCCAAAATTAAGTGGATGCTTGTTGAATGGCCATGTTCTTCCTAAGTTGCCCTATGAAATTTATCATATTAGACCTCGGTGACCTCTCGTAATATAATTAATGATGCCAATTCTTCATACCGTAAAATTTTAAGATAGTAAGTTTCGCTCAATCTACTATAATCTATATCTTCAAGAAAGTGTTGATCTAATTGTCTCAAAGATCAAAAGGTCAATACAGGAAAGATTAGTTGATTCCTCTGTTGTTGCTGAGCAGGTTGCAGTGGGGGTGCGTGGAATGCATTCCGGAATAAAAATTCTGTTCGAATGCATTCCGAACGAAGCGTTGTTAAAAAATTTCGAATCGTTCGGAGCAATTTTGCATTTTGAAATAAAAATGCGTTTGTTAAAAATACTTGATTCCAGAATGCATTCTTGATTCAGAATGCATTTTGATTCTGAATGAGTTTTAGGCAGAAAAGAGAAGCTACTTTTGTAGCTTCTTGATTCGAATGCATTCTCCCTATTTTCTCACAATTTTTTTCATAAAATGCATAAAAATTGAAAAATTCTAGAAAAATTCATAAAAATTTCAAAAAATAAAAAAGTCAGATTTCGGGAAAATATGAAATTTGGTGAATTTTTTTAAAAAATAAAAAAATATTCAAAAATTCAAAACTTCACGAATAGCTTAAAACACACGTGCCACCCACTTTGAGTGAAATTTAAATTTTTGAGGTGCAAAAAAAATCAAAAATTTCAAAACTTCACAAAATGGCTTAAAATACCTGTAGTCACCTACTTTGAGTGAAATTTAAATTTTTGAGGTGCCAAAAAAAAAAGAAAAATAATAATAAAATAAAAATTTTCAAAACTTCACAAAATGACTTAAAATACCCGTGCCACCCATTTTGAGTGAAATTTAAATTTTTGAAGTGCTCAAAAAAAAAAAAAAAAAAATTTCAAAACTTCACGTAATGACTTAGAATATCTGTACCACCCACTTTGAGTAAAATTTAAATTTTTGATGTGCCCAAAAAATAAAAAAATAAAAAAATTCAAAATTCACTTCACAAAATGGCTTAGAATACCGCGCCATTCACTTTGAGTGAAATTTAAATTTTTTAGGTGTAAAAAAATTTAAAAAAATCAAAAATTTCAAAACTTTACTGAGAATGGCTTATAATACATGTGGCCACCCACTTTGAGTAAAATTTAAATTTTTTAGGTGCAAAAAAAATCAACAAATCAAAACAGATTTGCTTCAAATCAATTTCGGAGCGCAAATTAGTTATGTTTTACCAAACAGATTTCTCCTCTATAAATCAATTTCTAGCAAGAATTCCAGAAATCAATTTCTGGCAAGAATTTGATTTCTGGAGCAGAATGGTTACCATTCGCACCCTAAGAAACTTCGCATTTAAGCAAAGGAGATTTACTTTAGGGATTTTCGTGAAAAGCAAATAGTGTTTGGCCTTGTAAAATATTTATTGCAAAGCAATTTTTAGAATAAGAAAAAAAATTAAAAAGGGAGAACGAAGGAACCTGCAGTTACAGTTAAAAGCACAAGCGGCCGGCACAACAGTAGGATCAGTGCCGACATCGCGCGACCCCAAGCGACCCGCCGCTAAGGTCGACCAAACCCAAGAGATGCGACACTAGTGTTGCTTGACCCCAGGCAATGCGACACCAGTGTCGCGTGACCCCAAGTGGCAGAATGCCAAAGCCGCACAACTAGGCAATGCGATGCTCAATCCTCGGCGAACTAGATCTGGCATCGAGCAACCCTTGCAAAGCTTCTCGACATCGCGCAACCCTTAACAAAGCTTTGCCGGTGTCCCTCAACCCTCGGCAAAGCTACGGCGGCGTCCCTTGGCCTCCTCCACGAAGCATCCCAGCCAAGATCAACTTACGGCTTTCTCTCTCCTATCCAAGGTTGAGGGGTTATCACAAATATTTTAGTGATGGCAAGATTGGAAGAAAAAAATTCCATTGAACCGAAGCTGGGACTAGCCTTAAGCCGCGACCATTTTCAAAGCAAAATTTTGCACCAAAATCTTTGAAAATGTGTTGCCAAATATCAAAACATGGCTCAAGGGCCCTTGAAGGCCCAAAACAGCTTAAGTCAAGTTGATCGAGCACTCAAATTTTTAACAGCCAAAATGGACGGGATTGAAATGGAGGTAAATTTGGAATAGTGTATCACTTCGGGGGGTTCTTGTGGGTCAAAAAATAATTTTGAGTAAATTGTTCAAGAGCATCAGTTTAAGGTTTTATGCGATGTTAATCCAAATACTATATCTATGTATTATTTCTTTCCTTTTACTCCTCTTGAAGAGTTGAGTCCCATTCATAGCATTTTAATAATTTCCTCTGAGCATATTGGTAAGTCAAGTTCATACTAGTATTGCCTTTATATTCTTCATTGGCTTATGCCGAACTTTATTCTATCTCACTTTCCATCCCATTAGTCACTCTTCGTTTAAGTGTAGTTGGCCCGAAGTCGTCCATCTGAAACGCAAAATTCAATAAAGTAGAAATGTTGTTGCCATCACTTTCTGAATCTAACATCCTAAATTAAATATAAGATTATTACAGTCTCCACACAGGTGACCCAATCATATTACGAGAGATTACGAGATATCAAATGCTCGTTACTAAACTACTACTAACAATCATTAGAGTTTGGAATCGTGTACACCAGCGATATCTTTTTTCAATATTTGATTTATTGGATCGTAACACGTATTCACCTCAAATTAAATTTACCACACCCGATCAAATTCCAAAATTATAGAGTCACCCCCTCCTCCTCCTCCTCCTAGATAAAAGATGGAGAAGAGCTACCAACACTAGCGACCCTTTTTGGAGTGTCAACCCATTAAGGGTGTATACTTAATTATACATCTTATTATAAAAGGGAGAAACACCGCCTATAGGAAACGATTAATACTCCCGGAAGCGATACGTCGATTCTATCTAGACATCGAATCATCCCGCGTTATCAGCCTTTCCTAATTCTTGCGATTTATACTGCATTAGCAACGTTCGAGAGCAAAATCAAAAGGATGACTCAAACCTTTGCCCAAAAAAAAACAATGCAACCCAAAATTCAACAAGCACGAAGCAACGTAGGGCAGCCTCTCGAGCAAAATCTTGGGCTGACCCGAATTGAGACGGTCTCGGGTCATCTCCACTAAATGGGCCTCCAAGACTGAAGTGATGGGCCGATAAAAAAAATTAATTTCCTTTTTCATAACACTTTCGAAGCAATACCAAACTTTATTTGAGGAAACATATAAAAAAAAATGACACCCGACGACTGCTGAAAAACCTCTCTGAAATTAATTGTTGGGAAATATCTTGGCCAAAAAACAAATCCTTCATCGATTAATTAATGGAAAAATATCACCAAAAATCCTAAATTATGCCACTTGTGACAAATTTACCCTGAACTTTTTTTTGTGACACGAAAAATCCCAAACTATGTCACTTGTGATAAATTTACCTTGAACTTTTTTTGTGACACGAAAAACTCAAAATTATGCCACTTGTGACACATTTACCCAACAATACTTTGGCCCATTAATTTTGGCCCACGAAAAACTCAAAGTATTGTGGGGTAAATATGTCATAAGTGGCATAATTTTGAGTTTTTCGTGTCACAAAAAAAAGTTCAAGGTAAATTTATGACAAGTGACATAGTTTGGGATTTTTCGTGTCACAAAAAAAAGTTCAAAATAAATTTGTTATAAATGACATAATTTGAAATTTTTTGTGGTATTTTTCCTTAATTAATCTCTATCTGCTCGTAAATTTTCATTGAAGAAAAATTTTCAAAAGTAGAGGGGTCTTGATCTCGGATCTTGCATCAGTGACGGCGACATCGACGACTTCGAGGCATCCTCAATCACGTCAGGATGGACCGGGGCTGTGTTCTAGACCACGAGTTCCTGACAATGTTTGTCGTTCTATAAAATATCGTCAAGGGGGTCCGAAAGATCAAAGAAGTGAAGGGAATATTGAAGAAGAAGAAGAAGAAGAAAGGAATTGCGTGTGTTTTCACCTTTTGATTTTTGCAATTAGCTCCCATGCTTTTTAGTCTTTAATAAATAATCCTCTCAATTTGTGTTTTTTTTTTTCATTGGTAATTTGGAAAAGAAAAGGCCGATTTGATGAATATGGAAAGCAGATGCAACCTGAAGTTTAGTATTAAAACTCAGAATGCAAGCCCTGGATTTTGAAAACTTGGAGTGAAAAGTTGATATGAACGCAAAAGGTGAGGATGATATTCGTAAATTTTCCCTAAATAATCTGGTTTCGATTTCTTTATAATAAAAAGAAAAAAAGAAGGGTTCTTTGGAGAGTAAGGGTGACGTCGTGGATTTTGAAAACTTGCGTGTATTTGGTAAACGTCTCTGTTCCCGGGAACAGAAACCCTAAGGCGCGCTCAAGAGGCGGAAGTATGTAACAACGGAACATAAGGGCAAAACGGCATCTCTAGGCGGCCCAATGGGAGCCCAGACGCCGCAACACGAAGTGTCCGGCGAAATCAGCTGGCTAACTTGGCCGGTGGCTATCGACCCCTTTAGTGTCCCCTTTGTCACCCAGATGTCGTGCGAACTATATCTCCCGGACCGATCTTCACTCCGAGCATCGATCCAAGTAAATTCGCGCTCGGGTTCGGCCAAAAACCCGCGACACCCAAATAGCACTGCGGATTATTCGATCTTTTTTCAATAATTTGTAAGTAAAATTAAACCCCGTTAGCTCATGTCGAAACGCTCACCATGATCTTCGAATTAGTGGCTCAAATTAGAGCTTCCGCGGTCCACATGTACAAAGAAAGGCGGAAGGTCAATAAGGAACTTGAGAAATAATTGTGGGACCCGGGCACTCCTCTCCCCTCCACCTCTCTGATACCGAGTGTCTTGGCTCAATAGGGGCACAAGTGTAATTGCGCGAGTGCCGACTCAGTGTTTCGGCCTCTTCGGTCGGCCTCTCTAGCATCTCTCGGGAAAAGCACACGGGAAGTTTTGAAACTCGTCGCGAATGTGTAATTGAGTCCTAAAACTTTCAAAAAGTGCGATCAAGTCCTAAAACTTGCCATGAAAGTGAAATCATGTCCTAAAATTTTCAAAAAATGCAATCGATGGAATGACTTGATTGGATCAATTTGATAAGTTTGAGAATTTGATTACAATTTTTAAAAGTTTTAGGACTGGATTACACTTTCGTGGTAAATTTTAAGATTTTGATCACATTCTTTGAAAGTTTTAATATTCAATTACACTTTCCCAACAAGTTTCAAAACTTCCAGCGCACTTATCTTGAAAATAAACGGTAAAGTTCCTCTCATCCCAAAACAAATCACCGCCGTCGATCATACCCGACCCGTCTGTCGGCACACAGTAACCCGACGACCCATCTCTGTCTCTGGGCCCCACTGCATATCCCCCATGCCTCGGGCCCCACTATACGCTTATCTCGCGAATCTAATCTCCGTCCCCATCAATTTTGTCTCCTTTCCACTCCCCAATTTTATTTTTTATTTTTAAAAATCGAGTATAAATTAAAATTCCATTAACAAGCGCCACAAAAAAAAACACTAATTAAAAAAATACTAAACATAATAAAAATAAACATCAGTATATATTTAAAACAGCAGATATTTCAAGAGAGCAATTTGCTTTAAATCAGAAATTTTTATATCATCAGAGCATTATTGATAACCGAAAGTCCCGCCGACATTATCTCTCTCTCGCTCTTAAAAGTCTCAAAGCTCGAAAGGACTGCAATTCCATTCATTCAAGCTCGGTGATTACATTGAACATTTTCATACCGCTAATAGACTAAATTGAATATGTCCCAAAAGTCTAGGGACCACATTGAATAAATTAAAAATTCGGGGACGACATTGCACGTTGGGCTAAAATTCGGAGATCAAATTGAATAAATTTGAAGTTCAAAGATCACGTTGCGTGTTGGGTCGATCCCTCCGCCCAAACAAATCGCCACCATTGATCATACCCGGCCCGTCGCCTGTCGGCACACGGTGACTGAGTCCGTCAGTTCGTACTTTCACTCCACCACCACCCAACGACCCATCTCTGTCTCCGGCCCCCACCGCATATCCCCGTCCCTTTGGCCCTGGCTCCCCCACCATACGCTTATCTCCACCACCATCTTTATCTCCATTCTCCCCTCCGTTTCCAATTTTTCCTTATTAAAATAAAAAAAAAATCAAACTTAATAAAAATAAATATCTGCATCTATTAAAAAATTTAAAAGAGCAATTTGCTTTAAATTAGAAAAAAAAACTTGATATTATCAAAGCACTATTAATAACCGGGAAAATAACATAAATAGTCTATGAACTTTGGCCAAAATATGCAATGTGATCCCTAAATTTTCAATTTGTTCAATATAGTCCTTAAAATTTAACTCAATATTCAATGTGATCCTTTGACTTTTAATTTATTCAATTTCATCCCTAAAATTTTAGGTACATATTTAATTTAATCTTCCGAACTACATTGAACAAATTAAAAGTTTAGGGATCAAATTGAATATTAGGCTAAAATTCAGAGATCATATTGAATAAATTTAAAATTCAAGAATCATATTACACGTTAAATTAAAAATAAATGACCGTTTGTTTGTGTAATTATCCCTCGATAACCCGAAAGTCTCCCCAACATTATCTCCCTCTTTCTCTCAAAAGTCTCAAAGCTGAAAAGTGAAAAAATATCAACATCCAAGAAGAACAAAGTGAACGACTTTTTGTCAACAAAAGCCAAACATCATCATCTCTCTCGTGTCTCTCTCTCTCTCTCGCTCGCTCGCTCAGAGCTTCACTGGTCGCAGCACTGAAAAAATGCACCACGCCTACATCAGACCCTCCCAAACCCGCCAGCAGCAGCACCACCACCACCACCATGGCCACCGCCCCGCCGCCCCCAGACCCTCCTCCGCCCCGCCCCCTCCGCCGTCGTCGGCGTTCACGGTGATCTGCGTGCTCCACGCCCTGATCGCGCTCTTCTGCGGGTCCCTCATGATGTTCCACGCCCGCGCCATCTACTCCCTCGGCCACGGCACGGACGCCGCCGAGCGCCTCCTCGGGTCCACCCCGCAGGACCGCCTCCTGATCCGGACCTCCGACTCCTTCGCCGGCCTGCTGCTCCTCGCCATCGGGCTCCTGCTCCTCATGGTGTCCAACATCAAGGACCGGGAGTTCCAGGACTTCTTCGCCAAGGGGTGCACGGCGCTGCACGTGTGCGTGGCGGTGTGGCGGGTGTCGTTCGAGCGGCGGGTGGAGGACCTGGCCGGGGACTGCCTCCGGCAGACGGTGGGGGACTTCCTGCTGGCCCTGTCGTGGGTCCTCCTCCTCGTCTACTCCTGGAGGGAGAAGTACGACTGACCCGGAATGGGAATCACGTCTGGCTCTCGCTGTTTTTTCTCTATTTTCTTCTCAAACTTTGGCCAAAATAAGGTTGTTGTAGTGTAAAAAAGAAGGCAAAAGAAAGGGATTTTCATCTTCTTTCCCTTTCTTTCTCTTTTTTTCAAATTTTGGGATCTTCTTTTTCTTTTGGGGTAAGTGGGGGTGCCTGTGAAGCTGCTGAATCAGGTTCACGTTGTGTTAGTGTTGTAACATCTGAGCTTTTTAAGGAATGTATAAAGTTTTTGGGATACGTTCTGTATATACTGTAGATATACGGTCCTTGGCACCAATCAGCTTCCTTCCTTTGCGATTCCAATGAGTACCGACTGATCTTGGGCAAGTGGGTTCTATTATTATATCTTGTTTTTGGGGGTGACAAGTGGAGGGAGTGAAGCTCGGCTGTTGTGGTGCAAGCTGAATTAGGGGTTGTCTGTGGTCGATCGGTCCCAATCGCGGGTTCACGTTGGTTTCGGATAAGATCAGGAATTAAAAATTTAGGTTACGATGGGTCTCTTGCAATGCTCGTTTGTCGGACAGACGGACCGACCCCCATTATTCTAACGTAAAAAGGACGGCGGATAACGAAGCACGGGAGGAAGATATTTTCGCGGAAAGTATCGGGCAATAGCATGTTCCGTTTCTTGGCAAGCACAAGACAAATCGGAAGATGTAGACTCCATCGTTTTCCAAGAAGATGTAGACTCCGCTCGACCACGACTTCGTACTCTCTAAAGCATTTCTAGGTCTTGAGGTGAATTTCGGAGGAAACTTTCACTTAAGGTCCAGTTCTTTGTAGATGTCTACCGGCGATGCTTCCGGGCAACAACACCGATGTAGACCGACGCCCAGAAGACCGACACCCGGAAGATGCGACTCGCGTATTCTCCATGAAGCATCCGGGAAAATATGCAGGAAATAGTAGAGAGTTTACACTGGCCTCAAGGAATTCTGACAGCTACACGGCCTAATGGCAATGGTTATTTTCCTACAAAAGCCGGGTCGAAGTCAGAAGCTTGATTACTTTGAAGTTGCCTGCGATGAGGAAGGCTGCACTATCCACGAAAGGATATAGTAAACATTGAAGTTTCCAATCACGAGAATACTACAAAACAAGTGTCTGTGTAATTCATAGGACCAGTACGCTTTTTCAAGTAGCCGTTGGTAACTCCTTCGCGACACCGCGAGTGTTTGGTACTCCACAAACAATGACTCATGGAGGCTGCAAATCGTTCAGTGAAGAAAAATTCGGAGAAGAAATATACAGTTAATCCCATGAAAAAGAATATACATTATGGGACTTCACAGTGGTTAGCCGCATCTTTTGCAACGAACAATGTCATGAAGGCAATCGTAGAAATGAGCAATCTTGATATTCTCTCTGCCGGGGTTTTCAATGGTATGCTCGCCCTGGGCTGCCATCTCAATCAGCATGTAAAGCTTCTTGATGGGGCATCTAAGAAAATTCAGAGCACACAAGCTCTGAGTTAAAACTCTCTCCAAACTGCGCCTTACTCCATCTACTGGCAAACTTTATCTTAACTCTCTAGTCCTGAATTACAAGACTTGGCGAATTTCTATCGCACATCATCACCTCTAACACAGCAAAACATGAAGGCACAAGTTGAGAGATCTACAGCTCAACTCATTTAGAGCCTCGGCAGCTGCATCAACGTCATCTTCAGAGAAAACGTTCAGCTGTTCCAACACTAGAAGGGAAATAAAAAGTAAGTTACGTATACATATATATGTGGCTCTTTGGTGATGTCAAACGCTTCGCATCCACGATTTGGATTGACGCAACTTTATCAACAAAATTCTCCCGCCTGCAGAATTTGCTTTGGGAAACTTGCAAGAAAACTAGAGTCCTTAAAATTCACTTTGTCTAGGCTAATATAATGGTCAATCCCATTTCCTAGTCATGAATTGAGATATGATAAGAGGACCTTTTGGATACGAGCACCTCTAGGCCCCCAATATTTGCAAGAAAATCAGAACCAACCAGTGCGCTCCATGAAGATCCAAGCGAGGGTGACCTCCATTATTTTAACTCTTGTATTACGGCTTGCAGCTGTTCGGACACGGCACTTTACCAAGTGCCGGCGACCCTCGCTCAGATTTGGGGCGAGGGTCATGCCCTCCCCCGGATCGAGGCCTACAGGCCCTCATCAGGGCCTCGCCTAGGGCCGGCGAGGGTCGTCCGGCTTTGGGAAGGCCCAAGTGACCTCTGCCGGCCCTTCCCGGCAGCCACAGATGAGGGCTTGGCCACAACAGCTGGTTGTGGGTTTTTCGTTTTTTTTTTAACTTTTAGCTTTTTCATTTAATTTATTTTTTTCTGACGTGGCACTTATTGAATGCCACATTATTGCCACATCATCGCCACGTGTCTCGAGAAAGTAATAAAATAAGATGCATCAGCATTTTCCGTTAGTCTAATTTAACGGTGTTAACTTTAGGACTCAATTGATCCAACTTGATAAGTTTTATGACTTGATTGCACTTTTTACAAGTTTTAATACTCAATTGCACTTTCGTGATAAGTTTTAGGACTTCCGGTGTATAAGTCCCTATATTTTAATGTAGTCAAGTTGAGTCATGTCAAATTTGAATATCCCGATTTTCTTTTGGAGTTGAGTCCGAGCAAGAAATTTAATACTTGATCAAGTTCAAGTGAACTTTTGAGCATCAAGCACGTGAGTCAAACTTGACGGTGTATCGGCTCAACTCAATTGGATTATATCTCCACATTGAGGGCTAGACCTAGGACCCGAGCGCTCAGACCCAATACCTCAAGGACGACTATGGACCATAGCGCCTGGTCATGTTAAGTAGGGGTGAGCAACTTGGACCGCCCAAATCGGGACCGGACCGGACCAACAGGTTTGGTCCGGTTCTCGGGATTATTGGTCCGGTTCCCGGTTCCTAAAAGCGGACCAGTTTCCGGGTGGTCCGATTCCCGGTTTCAAGGGGGAACCGGACCGGACCAGACCGATTATTTAATATATATTTTTGTTATTTTTTTATTTACAAAAATTAATAAAATGTGAACTAAACTCTAAGTGAACTTCATTATCATAAATTCATTAATAAAAATTAGTAAAGTGTGAATTAAACCCTAAGTGAACTTCATTGACATAAATTCATCGACAAAAATTAGTAAAATGTGAACCAAACCTTAAGTGTTTAACCAAAAAATAAAAACTAAACTCTAAGTGACCGGTTCCATTGGACCGGATCGGACCGGCGGTCCGGTCCGGTTAGCGGTTCCCAGACCGGACCGGGAACCGATCACCCCTAGTGTTAAGGTTGTAACATTCGAGCTCTTTTAAGGAATGTATAAAAAATCTTGGGATACGATCTGTAGACTGTAGATATAATACACGGTGCTTGGCCCCAATCAGATACCTTTATTTCCGAGGAAACTTCACTTAAAGTTCAGTCTTTCGTAGATGTCTATCGGTGTTCGGTGATTCTTCCGGGCAATGAGGTCGATGTAGACACCCGGAAGATGCAACTCGCATATTCCCCCATGAAGCACCCAAGAAATATACAGGAAATAGTAGAAAGTTAACCATGGCCTCAGAGACATTTTGACATCGACACGGCCTAATTGCCGTGGTTATTTTCCGACAAAAGCCAGGTCGAAGTTAGAAGCTTAATTCCTTTAAGTTGTCTGCGATGAGGAAGCCGCCACTATCACACAAAAGCATCGAGTAAAAGGCCATAATATTAAAGTTCCCAATCATGAGAATACCACGAAACAAGAGTCTGTAATTCACAGGACCAGTGTGCTTTGTCAAGTAACCCTCGGTAACTCCTTCACAAAATCGCGAGTGTTTGCTACTCAACAAATGAACAGCTCATGCCGACTGCAAGAAAAGTTTCAACAAGAAATATACAGATCTTCATGTGAAAAAAGAATAAACGATATGGGATGCTACAGTGATTAGCCGCATTTTAGTAACGAACGATGTCCTGAAGGCAATCGTAGAAATGAGCAATCTTGATCTTCTGTCGGCCGGAGTAGATGGCCTCGGCAGCCCCACCATGCTCACCCTGGGCTGCCATCTCTACCAGCATGTAAAGCTTCTTGATGGGCATCTAAGAAAAGTACGAGCACAAAAGCACGAGTTAGAACTTTCTCTATCTCTCCCCCAAAAACCACGCTACTCCATTTGCAGGCAAACTAAGATAGATAGGAAATTAGCGTGGAGAATGAAGTTATCTCCTTAAGTCCTTAATCACGCGACTCAACGAATTTCTGTTGCACATCATTGCTCTAACACAGAAAAACATAAGAAGGCACAAGTTGAGAGATCTAAAGCTTACATCATTCAGAGCCTCGGCAGCGGCATCAACGTCATCTTCAGAGAAAACGTTTAGCTGTTCCAACACCTGAAGGGGAACAAAAAGAGTCACGTATACATATATAGTTCATGATGATCTCAAACACTTCAAGTCCACATTTTGAATTGACGCAATTTTATTAACAAAACTCTCCAGCCTGCAGAATTTGCTTAGGGAAACTTGCAAGAAAACCAGATTCACAGTTGATTAAAGACGTCGATCAGAAACATTATTGGACTAGCACTTCTAAATGAGATCTGAACTATTCTCAAACATCAACACATGACTTTTTATAGACCCACCCATCCCCTCCCAACCGCATTACCTAACCCACTCTCCCGCTCTAAAAAACGGAGAAAAAAAAGGGAGCAAACAGATAAGTGAAGGACTCCAAAGTACCTATCATGTTTCTGTGCTCGGGACTATTAATTTCCTTAAAATTCACAATGTCCAGGCGCATCCAAAAGTTCAATCCCATATCCCTCATCTAAATTGAGATATAATAAAGGGACCTTTTGGATATGGGCACCTCTAGGCCTCAGATATTTGCAAGAGAATCAGAACATCGTGAAGTCAACAAATGACTGGTTTTTTAAGCAGATAAATTCTCCTTCAAACAAGACAATGCTGTACATTTCTACCTCTCTATTTCACGTTTTCCAGCAGAGGAGAAATGAAGAAAGAATAGCAAAAACAAGAATACTACATGCAAACACCAGAAAGCATCTACAGCAGCTTACCTTCTTCGCATCCACTGTCTTCAACGTGGGGAGATGGTAAGTGACAGAAAAGGCATCGCAGACACCAACTGAATCCAAGAAACTCACTTCACTTGTTGTCCCAATCACGAGAAGCTTCTTTCCCTGGAAAAGAGAAAAGCCAAATATATGTGTATAATAAGCTAAAAAATTCAGTGATGTGAAAAGAATACCAGAATCAAACATTGTAAGTCAGAAACCACCGACTAAATCAATAGAGATAAAAACAGCTAACATAATATTATTACAATCACAATACACAGAGGAACATGTACATACCCTAATTCTTAACTAGCAAAAGCAAAATTACCTATAACATATTCTAAAGTGTGCCTGTATATGATAATGCCAAGTTCAAAGCATCCACATATTACAAAAGTTTCTTCCCCCAGGACAGCCTTGAGGAAACACGTGAACCAAGGTTGCACTCGGTACAGTAAAACAAACTTCACTGCAGCTCCATCTCAAACAGGATAAGCAAACTAGCCAATCATTCTAAGGTCAACATGGGGGAAGTAAATGCCAATGAACTGAATCTTAATCTCTCAAACTCAAATTCCTGATCACCACCTGCATAATGACATCATTACTGTGTTCCCTCAGTAACATGACTAGGGATTTTTGCTCTCTACATTCCCACTCATATTTTTCATTTCCTGGAGAAAGGAACTAATTCCCACTCATCCACATTGAAGCATTTTTAATCCAATAATACTAGTAACTTTGCCAGCATTAACTTCCAGAAGAGATCAGAGAAAATGATAATTACTCTTCACACCAATATTAATTTGTGGAAACAAGGTGAAGAGAAGAAAACACCTTTGGAGGTAGTCGCTTCAAAAGGACTAACAATGTCTGAGATATCAAATTTGAAAATCGAGGCCCAATGGCGACATACTCCAGTAGCCTGCAAAGCAATTCACTCAAGTCAAAATGATCTTTCAATGCCAAGGATGACAACAGAGGTCAACTAATAGAAATCAACAGAATTTACCTTTCAAGGTCATCAAGGATGATAATGCTCAATGGTGATTTGTATGCATCCTCGAAAACCTATCAAAGATTAGAATCCATTACAAAACCGTCCCCGGTCATCATGGAAAATGTAAGATAACCACTCTTCGAGTTAGTTATAAATGGAGGGGAATCAACTAATTTCCAATTCCTCAAACCGCTAATCGAGCAGAAATACAGGTCACAAACCTTCACGATTTGTGCACATTTGGTGCTCTCATGTAATCCAATCATAGTTTCTGCCGAGACCTAAGCATCCAAAAGAAAATTAGAAATTAAAACTTGATGCACAAGGAAGTCTGATTACTCGGGGAAAGCAAAGAATGGAGCAGAAGATTACAATTTTAACATATGGAAAATCACTGTCGATGCCAACTGTAGCTGCCAGAGCAGTTTTACCACTGTACAACAGACAAGATTTTAGAATAATCCCAATTGTTTTAGGACATAGGAAAAATTGTTTCGCAAAAACGAAAGCAATGAGTCAGAAAACCCCAAATACCTGCCACTCGGACCCTCCAGGAGGCAAGTGACAAGCGGACTTCCTTTGCTCACTTTAACTTGCTCAACCAGTAGCATTGCTCGTTCATATATGTGCTTATGTCGATCGCCACAACTTACAATGCCATTAAGCCTACAAAAATATTTGCACAAACAATTGAGGCAGTGACACATGCTTAATAGTGTTTGCTCTTTATCTTTAACTGGAACTCTAGAACAAAAGTCATCAATTAATGAGACTTTAATACAAGCACACAAAAAATGTGTATAATTAAAAAAGATGTCAGGTATATCTAGGTAAATAAGAACTCAAACTGACGACATTTTAGCATCTTCATGAGATGGCAAAGAAGGTGCTAAAGTAACAACACTATGGGCTCCCCAAGCAGAATTAAAAAACCACATCTGCAAAATGCTTAGTGAGATTGCTCAGGTTTTATGATCATTTTTTAGCAGAACAAAAGGAATGTTATTATATCGGTTTGTCAACTAGGAGAACCTTGAGCTCTAAGATTAAGATTAGTCACGAATCATATGATAGCATCTGTGAAAGAAGCATGTCGGAAACCCAATAAGATGCACATTATCCAATCTATTTGCATAATGAAAATTAAAATGTTTTTTTCTAAGACAACAATGGACCAGACATCTTATTGATCAGCTCAGAGAGAATCCTCTCAATTACTCCCCTCCTCTTGTTTATCCTTTCCAAAACTAAATCTCAGAAAACTAAATTTAACAAATGATTCACCATGGACCACCTATAATTGGCTAAAACCACACAATAACACAATTCCTAAAAACACATCAGAGAAATCTACTTATGATATCGTTCTATAATGGTAAAGACCAAGTCGAAAAACCCAACCCCAAATGAAGAAGCAATTTCAAAGATATCAACTCTCATCTGAACTTCATTCATTCTTTATCCAGAAATTCGCGCCTGTAATTATCAATCCTTAAGTAAAAATCAGAGATCCTCCTACATTTTAATAAGAATCACTTGTATAATGCTAAGGCCTGCAGCTACAACAGCTAAACCATCTCTAAGGCATTGTGTTGTTCTACATGTATGCTCATATATACTGCATAAGGGGATAGAAAGAAAGATTTTGTGAATCAACTTTTTTTTGCTTCACCCTTCCTAATGATCTAAATCTCAGTCCCTGAGAGGCCAGTAGTAAAAGGACATCACATTATGTTGTTAGCGTTTTGAACCAGTGTACTTTTGTACACTCGCTATATATGATGGACAGTAAAAATATCATTGGAGACCCAATAGAAGCATCAACTGGGGACGAAAACAATTACTAACTCCACTTAGTGGGATAATGATTATTTTGTGGTTGGTGTACCACTAGATTACCGGCCAAGCAATTTTGAAGGCATTTAATTTTACATGCAATATCCAGTCATACAATTCTTACTTCATTGGAACTACGGATTATAAGAACGTTGCTACAAAAGATAGATATTTCATGTATATCAGCATTCAATTATTCCTACCTGCATCTTTCCAAGTCATCTGTGGAAGCTCCAAATGCAGGAACAATTTCATGGAGTGCATTCAAAAAATCATCCATAGTGACTTTGATACTCTCTTCATCCACAGGTTTCGTAAGATCATCAAGACTTAATTGTCTATTCAGAGCATATGATACAGCACTTTTCACAACACCTTCAATTTCTGCACCACTATAGTTCTTTGTACGAGCAGCTGCACAATCGCAGATTGCAAATAAGGTAGGGTCATCACAAGAGATGAATTAAGCAACAGCTTTTTTAGCATATACACCTTCTTTTTCTTTGGTTATTAAGAAAGTCTCTTACACCTACTTCTCAGAGAGAACAGTGCCACCAGGCCGGGCACCTGGTAGTTCTTTTTAGTATATACATAATGTGTCCAGAAATACAAGACTTAGCCTATTTGATCAAAGAAACACACAAAATTATTTGAAACTACATTACTACCACATTATATGCCGACTTTTTTCTGCTTCCACATGGCAATGCTCACTTCAGTAAGCCACTTTTAAAATAATAAATGAAGATTTGCTTGATGAAGATTCATTCTAGTAAATGCGACCAGCTGACTAACCAAGTTCCTGAAGACTGACATCAGGAGCAAGAAAAGAATTCTCTTTCATCTTGTTTGTGTGGATCTGAAAGATTTGCAAGCGACCATTCTCATCGGGAAGGCTTATCTCAACTTGTACCTCCAAGCGTCCTGGTCTAAAGATCAAAAGTCCAAAATGTCAAGTGTGTCTTTAAGTATCTACTTTTACCTCTAAAACCAATATTGTAAATGCACATATGATCCTGCCACAGTTATGATGCCACCACATGTCAACAGCAAAATTACATTCTTTTTTATCCTTATAAGTGCTAGGCATAATAATTCTTAAAAGTAACAATGAAACAATCTTCCATTAAGTTGCATGACAACTCATGAATGCTTTTTACCATCTCAGGAGATTAAAGAGCAACCAAAAGACTTAGATATGAAGAACCAAAAGAGCAAATGAGGGACCACCTCAAAAGAGCCTCATCAAGAAGATCTTTTCTGTTGGTCATTCCAATAAGCAAAACATTGTTCAGTGACTCTACACCATCAATCTGAAAATCAGGAACTATCTCAGCAGCAATGATTGGTATAAATGAGCACAACAGAAAATATTCGCAGAAAAAATGGACGCTAGTTAAATTACTTCGCACAATTAGAACACTAAGATACTACTACGAACCTTTGTAAGTAGCTGGTTTACAATACTGTCATGAACTCCAGTACCATCTCTGGTCGATCCTCTTGACTGCAGATGCAAAATCAGGTCATTTCATTTCTTTATCATAAAAAGTTGACAATCAGCACTAGTCTATAAAACAATAGGAAAGAACACAGCCATTTAAGAAGTACCAAAAAAAAAAAACGATAAGCAACAAATTACCATGATGATCTTCATGATAAAGACACGACTGTTAGCAAAAAGTGCAGTTAATGCAATTGACACATCAATATCACATCCATTGCTCCTTTTTTTTGTGTGTGTGGTAAGGGGGTTGTTGAGAAAAGTACTGATGTACATAATTTTATTAGACTTGATAAAAATTCCAGGAACGAATTAAGCACCTCAATATAACATATATTTAGTTAAGGATATTTTTAATTGGATTTCTGAATAGTGAATGTTAGTTATCAGACCATCAGGGGAAAATCCTAAAATGGAACCTTGAAAACTATAAAAGCCATGATAGAGCAACTACCAAGACAACAAAATACAAAAGGTCTACTCTTACGACTCACTAAAGTTGACCTTATACGAGAACCAAACCCTGTAGACACACTGTCCACTATTCTATGTACACTGCTTCTAAGCAACAGTGCTAAGCTATTCAGCATCATAGAGGTCAGAAATGCATATATCGACCAGATAATCTCATACCTTGCATATAGCATCAATTTCATCAAAAATGATGACATGCAAATCACTCTCGTCGCCTGAAAATTAATGAGGTAAGTTACAAATACTTACTAAGAAGAATCATAAATCCAATTCATATACTCAATTACCGCGAGTCCTCTGATCCTGTTCAGCATCAGCAAATAAATCTCGAACATTCTTCTCGGTTTCACCAACAAATTTGCTCAACACTTCAGGACCATTGACTATCTGGCAGAGAAAATGAAGTCAAATTGAAAAAACAGACATACATACATATAATTTACAATGCAAATAGGTAGGTCTACATATGTAAGTACAAAGGTCGGTTCGCATGCATACATCTTAGAGATGATTCAAACATCTTCAGCAAAATAAGTAAACTACCATACGAACAGTAATGAAGCTATGTCCAATAGGATTCAAGATTTTGAGAAAAACGGGAGACATGTCCTAAGCAAAGAGGAGAAAGTAGAGGCCAGGCAGCAATAAACTTTTAAGCCCTCGACCTTCTTGGAAACTATATATTATTGATTAATTTCATCGATACCCATCTTGGCTTAGAGGCCTTTCACGAAAATAGCATCCATAGTAATTGAATAACCACACGAGATAGCATCCCATACCTTTGGTTCTTTGCCGTTCAACATCTTTCCTATTTGACGAGCCATTAGGGTTTTGCCAGTGCCAGGAGGCCCAAAAAGCAGCATACCTTTTACGTGTTTAATACCAAGCCTGGAATTGACCTTGTATTAGAGTAAGAAAAACTGCACCAGAATATAACACATCATACAAATTGCAAAGCCCAGAATTCTGGTTTCTTTACTTGCTAGTCACATGAGGAGGGAAAACACGAGAAGCAAAAGCCCTTCGAAATATATCCGCGAACTCTGCACTCAAGCCACCAATGCCTAGGGACTGAAGGTTAAATTCCTTCTGCCTAAATATGTTGCTGCTGGCAGCTTCACGTTGATTGACGACCTGAATAACAAGACAACAGTCGAGACAGAATCAACAAAATTACCACATTATAGATTAATGGCCAGTAAAACCGTATCAGGAGAATGTTCACTATCAAAGATTCACACAAGAAAATAAAAGGATGTTCACTATTTCTCCAAGCACTAAGTGCAGAGCAAGATTAAGATCACAGAAGTTTCAGCTGTGCTCCATGAGCATGACAGACACCCTCACTGCCCCCAAATTCTATTGCAAAATGCAATATTTCCAGCTGCCTAAAATCAAATTTGAACGATATACTAAGGAAAATTTCACTATCTCACTTCAAATCTGAATCACAAAATAAATGTCACAACAAATTAAAACTGTATGCAATGAAAACGAAAAAAAAGTTAAAAGGAGAACCTTAATTCCACTAGCATTCGATGCTTCAAAGACAATGTATGTGTCATTTGAGATCATTCCTCTTTCAGGACCATTTGACCTTTCTTGTCCCTCCACAGCAGCTTGATTGACTGTGAATATATAGTTGTTCCCATGATACTCAAATGATACCCTTTGCCCTACTGTCATAACCTGAAAATACATTTACATGCCGATATACATCAAAAATTTATATAATATGCATGTCTAAGACAAGTTCATATGGTCATGGACGCAAATAAATACATGAACTTTCAGAGTCCCATTTCAATTATTTTAGCTAACATAAAATGACAGACTTTAGGAATGTCATACTTCACTAAGTCCTTGACAAGAAGATGTAGAGGTGCAAGATGCAATCCTATGCTAAATATGCACCTTTACCTCCAAGTGCACCACCTATACTCAGATATTTCCCTGCGAATTTAAAGAATGCATTTCAAAACTATACTAAGTCCTTGACAAGGAGATATTAGAGATCCAAGACGCAATCCTACCTCAGCAATCCTATGTCTAGAAGTGCCCCTATGCTTGGATGTTTTCCTACCTAATAAGAAAATGGATTTCAAATACACTTAGATGCAGGAGTCAGTTCCCAAAAATTCTCTCATTGTACTAACTGTTATGAGTCTGTTGATTCTCCTCAGTACTTGAACATGTAGTAGGAGTTGTTCACCAGCTCAAGTTTTATTGTTCAATGAATTACTTACTCATTGAAAAAACAAAATCTCTCATTCGAATGATTTAATATTGTTGGGATAAAAAGTAAGAGAAACTTAGACGATCTAGAAATTGCCGATGCTAGAGTGTTGGTCAGTGATATGTTTGCAGTTTAACTGGAAACCCCGACAATAACTTCCTTCATAAAACTCATGCTACTTATCAACTACACTCACTCCTGGATTGGCATCATCCAGTTGGCTACTTATGCAGCTCAATCATTGTCACTTGAAGACAATGTTTCCATGTGCGGATACATCGTCTCACAAAACTTTTTTTTTTTTTTTGTCTAGAGCATGTTCATCTTTGTCTGGCACATATGCAATACTCAAATCTATTCATAAGAAACCGTACTAATTTACTTAGTTGTGGTGAATGTTGATGCATTTTCATATTCTTGTTTCAGATTCAAATCAGCTAATCATAATTAGTTTGAAAATGCAGTTCTCATTCGCTAGACATTTTTAGGAGGCAGCAAATCTCTTCTACTTATCCCAAAAGCAGGAGCTCATTCATACATTTGGGCATTGTGGTACAGGTGACCCCGAGAGATAAGTTGTCGCCTGCCTCATAAAATAGCAATTGGCTCATGAATTTCGCCGCAAAGGGGGCAGAATAATAACTTGTAAAAACCAATAACCAGGGCAGGAGGGGGGATAGCTAATAAAAGCAATGAGGCGAATAAATTTGACTAAATGAACATAATCTACACACTCCAAGACTGATGCCGGCATTATGCGAACTGGAATTATTCTAAAAAAAAAGAGTATGTAGTACCTGGTTGACAAACTTCTTCCGTAGTTGATTAGCCAGTAGAACAGCATCAATCTACAAAATTCAACATAACACAAGAGGACGTTTCTTAAATACTGCTATTCCCACGGAGAAATGCAGGACAGTAGGCTCACAGCATGCACACCTGTTCATTTTTGGCTCCTCTCTTGACAAACTCCAACTCGAGCGTGAGCAAGGCCAGATCGAAATTCTCCGGCGGCACGAACCTACAACATCGCGACAACGCCTCGAGTCAATCACCATTTTCGCCACGGAACGCAAGCACCGCGGTTCGCCGCGAACTAACCTGCCGAGGGAGATCGAGTCCCCGGTCGAGACCCTCGCGTGGCGCCGCTGGATGGCATTCAGCGCGATGTGGCCAGGGCGGAGACCCTCGTGAGGAGTTTCTCTCAGTTAAGGGCCCACAGGCAATCGTTTTGGACAGTTCGAGCAAAGATCGCACAGCACCACCAGGCAAACAATCACACGAATAGAAACAACTAAGCAAAGCATAAAGCTACAAAAATCAACGATCAATCCTAATTACCATCGATATCTATCGCAAACTCAGCCATGCCGACGAAATGAACACCTCAAACGAGAAGATCGAGCACGCGAACGATCAAACGGCACTCAGATTGACACCGGCGAGGGATCGAAGAAAAACGAGAGGGGGAGGGGGAGGTCGGAGAAAGCAGAGCTCCGGCGAGGGGCAGAGGAAAAAGGATATGAGATGGAGAGGACGAAGGAGTCGGCGGCGAAGGAGGCGAGGGAGAGCCGGGTGCCGGGGACGGCGAAGTGGTGGAGATCGGAGGGGCAGCAGTAGGCGAGGTTGGTGAGGGCGAGGTCGGCGGCGGGGGTGTTGGTGACGATCATGGTGGACGGCGACGGCGACTGGAAGAACCGGCCCGCCATGGCTTGTTGGATCGGAGGAGGTTCGTCGGCGACGTCGAGCGAAAGGAGAGACGGAGATGAAGAATAACAGAAAGGGGGGAGGACCCGGTCGTATTTATGGGTCCGGGTCCGGGTCCGGGTTCGGGTTCGGGTCCGGGTTTGCTTTGGCCGTAAGGAACGAGAGAGAAGAGAGGAGAGAGACGCGGTCTTGCGCCGAGACTTTATAATTTTCCCATGAGCGGTGTTAAGGGGCATTTGACAGTATCGATTAAGGAAACTCTACGATTTGACGGCGCATTGATTATTCTTAATACAATTTGTCATTAAAAATCTTCCCTACTCTAAATTAAGAATACTTAAGAAGTAAGTCACTTGTTAACAGAGATTATTTCAGAATAATGTTGGACACAGTAGCATTTGAAGAATAGATTTTTCAATAGTTCGTTTACATCCGTGACATACTTGCATTGTTGAGTTTTACCGTGAAATTATTGAGCTGGATGGCGCTTAGCAATAACTCAATTGACATGGCAAGTTCATGTGAAAATCCATATAAATTTAGAGTAAATTTATCACAGATAATCGATTTGGGATTTTTTGTGACCCAAAAATTACTATAGATTAAATTTGTCACAAATGTATCGATTTTAGATTTTTTGTGATATTAACCCTTCAAATTAAGAATCCTTAATAAGTGTATCCAACGCACTTGTTAATGGAATCATTTGGAGAGACACCGCAACACTCTAAGAAGAGATTTTTCGGTGTTCGTTTCCATTCAAGTCAATCACAAGATAAATGCAAAAATGTTATGAGATTTAGAGGTGATGTTTTAGATTCAACCGGACGGGCCTAACTCATCACCCAAGTCCATATGGTAAAATTTAACGGTTTATAGTGTCGATAGAGGAATTAGTTTGATACGGGAAAGACTATGTTGCAAGAAGGTTCTCTTGGTTCTTTACGATGTTGACCAAATGGATCAACCAAATGAATTAGCCGAAGAAGGCAATTGGTTTAGAAAAGGAAGTAGAATCATTGTCACATCAAGAGACAAACATTTGATAACTTCCTTTACCAAAAAAAAAAACATTTGATAACTTCTCTTGGCATAAATTGAGTGTATGAAGCTAAAACTTAAAAAAAAAAAAAAAAATCAAGCATTTGACCTTTTTGGTCGGTATGCCTTTCCAAATAGCAAGAGAGTTAAAATAAGAAGGGATATCATAGATAAAGCTAATGGCCTTCTGTTAGCGCTCAAAGTGTTGGGCTCATTCTTACGTGAAAGGAAGGAATCTGCATAGGAAAGTACATTGCATAAACTCTCAAAAAGTCCTACCAAACTATCAATCAAGTTCTCAAGACAAGCTCGATGGATTGGAGAACAACGAGAGGGAGATTTTCCTTTATATTGCTTGTTTCTTTAAGAGGAAAAGTGTAAAATACATCAATGAAGTTCTTGGCAGCTTAAATTTCAACTTGAATATAAGAATAGAAATTCTCATCGAGAGGTCCTTGATAAAAAAAAAAATGAGTATGGGACCTTGCAAATGCAGGATTTAGTTTAGTTGATGAGTAAGGATTGTTAATCACGAATGTTCCGGGAAATGCAGCAGATTATGACTTTTGAAAGATGTTCAAGACGTTCTATCTAAAGATACACTAAAAGTTGTCTATGTGAATCATGCAACACCTCAGTTTTTACATTCATCTTATTTGAACAGTACAATGTAAAGCTCAACGAAAATGTTGTGTGACAATTGAATTTATTCTATCGTGATTAGGGAACGAATGCAGTAAAGGCTAGAGTATTGGACTTGCCCGCACCAAAAGAGATAACTATTAGTACCGATGCTTTCACAAGGGTTTGCTTTGGCGGTAAGGAACAAGAGCAGAGAGAGAGAGTCGCGGTTCAAATTTATTGACTTTCCTCTTTTTTATAGTTTTGTATATCTATGTATTTACCATAATTAATAATTTCACATGTTCAGTTCTTGTTATCTTCACTTTTATTGTGTAAATCACCATCAAACCCTTTCTTATCGATTTTCTTCTTTTATATAGATATACATATAATGGGATGATCAAATGAAGCCAAAAAAAAACCCCTCTTTGAAGATTTTTTAGAATAAATCACAATTACATTCTCCAACGTGAAAATTAAAAACATGAAGTTTAACTAAATCAAAATATTGCATAAATTAAGATTTTTTTTAAAAATGCTAGTTAAATATGATTATTTTAGATTGACAAAAATTAATATTGTCCAAGAACTGTTTACAAAAGAGTATCAAGTACCTCATTGTGCATAATGTTTCTAGTGTATTCTTAGATATTCCTTTAACATCTTACATGTTCTGTGTAAAAATATCTCACCAACATAATAAAAAAAAAGATAAATTCCTCAATATAATAAATAAAGAGACTTTATATATATTTTACATTAATGAAATTATAAAAAAAAAAAGGGAAGTTCACCATGTAAGTGAGTTTTTGTGATAAGAGGGATAAAGAATAGATAAGTTGTTATAAGATCAATGATAAAAATGAGACTTTTCAATTTTTTACTATATCAAAGAATGTTTTTTTTTCCTTACTATTTGGTGAGATAACAACGTCCAAGAACAAAATGTGGTACAAGTGTCGATACACATATCGGTCAGAATACACTTGTGTTGCAAAACTCCGAAAATGAGAAATGCTTTATTGTGATAACTAGATCTTAAATAGAAAAAGAAAAAAAAAATAGGAAAAAGAATGAATGTGGCCATCACTTTAAATTGTAATTAAATGATTGAGGGCAGTTGTGTCTTTATAGTGTTAATGGGGTGGATTTAGTTGTTTAAGGGTAGATATAGCACCACCCTAAATTTTTCCGAAAATTCGTTTACATATAAGTCGATCAAAAAGTAAATGCAACATGCTGCATGCATTTAGAATGATGTTTAGATTTAATTGGATGGGCTTTTGCCGTCCCCAAATGTTCCCAATCATTATATTGCCGGGCTAACCCAATCGGATCTACGAATCCCTTAGGCTTGCAGTTTGGCCTATTTAGCAAGTCTAGATAAGCTTATCATGTCTTCGTAATATTAAGATATCATGATTGATTTTGTCCGTCACATAACGAATCTACACCATATATTGTCATCATGAATTGCGCATTAAAGTAAAAACAAATTATCATACGCCATTCTCATCCACCAGCCAATCGGATTAGAACTGCAAACATCAGTGAATCAAGATTAACGAATGTACCGCTACTGACTGTTCAGAAAAATTATGTATAGCATTCGACACCATATATTTCCGAATCTACCGCTACTGACTTGTCAAATGCTATACATAATTTTTCGAAACTAAAATCTTGTTTTCAAATTTTGAAAGGAAAGCCATAAGTAACAGGGTGCAAGTTTCAGCTTCCAACCATTGTGCTATCCCTCCCACTATCAAACAACTAGTCTATCAAAGCCAATAAACAATAACCAAGTCTTCTTTAGATGGTAAACGTACCATGCCAATCGAATGGTTCCTACAATCATCCCGTAATCCCAGAACTCTCACACTCCTGAAGGAAGTCATGAATTTTAATGGAGAAATTTGATTGCAGAACTTCCACATTACAAATGCAGATGACAGACAACTTGTCCAGTTCACATCCAAGCCCCCATCAAGTTCAATGCAACCGCATCCGTTCCAAGATATATAACCAGCAGAAAATAGAAGCACGAGCCATATCTACCTAGTATGGAAAGTCGGCCAACATTTACCACTCGACAACAAAACAAAACTATCCCGACCTCTCGTTGTTTGCTTAATGAAACCGATATCCTCTTAAAAATTTGATCCACATTACTTCACTAACATTTCAGCAAGCAGGCCGGGCAGGACGCATCATACAACTAGGGCAAAGGAAAAACATTGAGCTATAATTGTATCAGAGTCCATGCAAGGAACTGTAAACTCGGAGATCAAACAAAAAACGCTACCCCAAAGACCTTGAGCGTAACGCCCATAATTAAAAGCAATAAGAACTCAACGCTTCTTGGAGACACCAACAGTTTTTCCTCTACGTCCAGTAGTCTTTGTGTGCTGGCCACGAACACGCAGGCCCCAGTAGTGCCTCAAACCACGGTGGTTCCTGCATTATTGCAGTGCTAATGTCAGATACTGAAATCATGATCAACTTCCAGAAAATTCAAGAGAATATGAAGTTGACATCTGGGGAGACAAAAAAGCAAGTTCTGTGACTGGAAAAAACTGAAGCGAAATGCTCATTACTAGCTTTTACAGTTGGCATTAATGGGGTAATCTACTTAAAAGAACGTAATACTAGAAAGACTTGTGATGCAAATGCGAATCTCCTATCCCACATATTCATACAGAAGGAAAAAGGCCATTGGATAATAATTTTTTGTTAAACATAAGACGAAAATTTAAATCAATATTACAGCAGCAAAATAAGTAAATTCTGGTCACCTGATCTTCTTCAACCTCTCCAAATCATCTCTCAACTTCATGTCCAATGCATTTGAGACAACCTGAGAGTACTTTCCATCCTTGTAATCCTTCTTTCTGTTCAAAAACCAGTCTGGAATCTTAAATTGGCGTGGATTGGCAACAATGACCATGAGGTTGTCTAGCTCAGCAGCAGTCAATTCACCAGCCCTGGTAGAGAAAAACATCGTAGCATCAACAACATTGCAATTATCTTGCAACGAATTTAAAAGCCAATCATACAAAAGACATCTCACATTCGTAGAGACAATCAGACGTGCTGCAAACAAAATGAAAAAAGAAATAAGGAACTTCGACGGAAAGGACACGGGGTGCCCACAGATAGATAACAGGAATTTTCCTAACCCATCCCGTGAAACACCTACACAACCCCGAAGTAGAGAATTTAAGTCCCCAGGTCATTCATTGATCCGAACCAAGCAAAAGCACGAAGTAAGAAATGAAGGATTCCACCAATCCAAGTGCCTATCATTGTTAACTAATTAAACCCATGAAAATGCCAGAGGCAATTGTTTCCCTAGAAAATGAAGCTCCTCATAAAACCATGGGAATCGCCATGTCATAACTACAACCAGGCCGAACCTTTGAATGCCGCGGACTCAACAACAGATCAACCAAAACACCAGTTGTCTTATCTGTCACAGACTAAACAAAAGATTAAACTAATCGTTCATGCTCTCTAGCAATTCCATAATTCAGCTCAGCCAAAAAAAAAAAAAAAAAACAAGACCGCTATTCCCAATTCCTACTCAGATTACAAGACAAAATACCCGAAACCCACATGTTCCTCAGATCACCCACACAATTTGCAGATTGCAGATGCCACAAAAATTCTAGCTAATTCGCATCCGACAGCACCAAAGTACCTAGGTAGCTCGACCCATATTGGCAAATAGCTAAAATTTCACAAAATTTTTGTAACTATGGCATTCTCATGTACACCGCACCCATTTCGCTAAAAAGAAAAACAACGAACCCAACGACCGTTCGGGAGCGGAAGGACAAAAGGGGAGAGCCGAGCCGAGCCGAACCTCTTGTTCATGTCGACGTCGGCCTTCTTGCAGACGATGTTGGCGAAGCGGCGGCCGATACCCTTGATGGAGGTGAGGGCGAACATGATCTTCTGCTTCCCATCGACGTTGGTGTTCAGCACACGCAGGATGTGCTGGAACTCCTCGTTCGCCACGAGAGACTGCCCCACCAAATATATCCAAATCAGTCACGCTCGAAGAAGCAACAGATGCTTACCATCGAAACGAGCGGATCGAGTCGAGCAACAGCAGCTTACCATCGTCGTTGCGCTAGCTAGCGAGCGAACGAGAGGAAGAAGAGAGAGCGAGAGCGAAGAGACGGCCGAAGGACTGGAGGTAGGGTTTTTCGCGTGGTATTTATACTGGACTTCGATCGGGCTAGGGTTTCCCTTCGTGCTCTTCGGGGCACTATAGTGGAATTTGTAAATATTGTTAAAAATTATTTCATTTTTTCAAAAAAAATTAATGAAGTGCATTAAAAGGTCTATATATAAAAAACAGAAGACTTTTCTTATTTAAGGCTGTGCTTTTTTCGCAAAAAATAAATGATTTAAAAAATACTTTTCTAAAAACGATCGATTAAAATCATTTAGTCAATGAAAAGTGTATTATCGACAACAATTTATGTTTAAACATTTTCATGGACGATGAAAATATTTTTTCGTTCGTTTATTTTTTTAAGTTATATAATAGATCAAGTTTAGGAAAATGTTTTCCAAATCACTTATTTTTTTCGAAATAAACGGGTCCTAACTATATACATAAGCTACTCGTGAACCCACGCCATATTGGCACGTACATCGAAATGGAAAAAAAAACATAAAGTATAAAGGCATTATTATAGTATTCCAATCTCTCTTTTTGTTTGGAAAAACTAATTATAAGTGGACACTGTTTAATTTTTCGTTTAGAAAAAAAATGCATGGGATATCCTAATGAGAAATTTAACTTGAGAAATCGCAGTACTAAGATTTTTTAACTTTAGAAAGAAAATAATATTCTCATAATTTTCTTTCAATAACTGAAAAAAGAAGTCTCCCAACTTTTAAGGAGGGGATAAGTAGATAAATGAGTCTTGAAGTTTGGACCAATATGTAATATTGTCCTTGAACTTATGAAAATGTTTAATATTATCCTTTTATTAATTCAAATTAATGGGATTTGCTGATTTGGCTTGCAATCCGATAAGTTTGAACTGTGGACAAAAAAAAAAGTTACAAGTGGATTATCCACGTAAGATTATCAACTCAAATTTAGGATATAATAATCCATGTTATCAAATGACATGAATAATCATTTCTCAAAATTGAAAAAAAAATTAAACAATTTAAAAGGATTGTTATATTCTAATTTGAGTGAAACATTCTACGTGGATAATCCACATAGAACGTTCTTTATTTTCCATTGTTCAAACGTACATGATAGGAAGCCAAATCAACAATTTCCGTTAACTCAAATAAAGGACAATGTTGAAACATTTTATATAGTTTAGGAACTAAATCGAACATGTACCAAAAATTCACAAATCACATTAAACAAATTAAAAATTCAGAAACGACGACTACGTTTGATTGGGCTTTTGAGGAAAGTTTTTGGGAAAATACAAAAGTCTTTAGGTTAAAGGGATTTTTTTAAATACAAATAGTTTTTGGTAAAGTGTAATTTAAAATTGCATTGGGAAGCAACTATGGTTTAAATTTTGTTTGGAAAAATCACACTTGTAAGGGGCTTTTACTATCTTTTTTTACTATTAAAAATGAACTCAAACGTTTCACCAGGTCCGAGCATTGTGTTTGGATACTTAGTCAGTCTACACATAGGCGTACGAGCTTGTCACTATAACCCCATTGAAGTGTTAGAAGTTAAGAAGTCTCTCCACATGAGATAACAAATGTCCAAACATAAGTTGATTAGAAGTTCGCTCAAGATGTGTCTCACATGAGATAACACTTGTGTATTTTTCCACTAGCCATTTCGGGAGAAAGGACATCACAAGTGTCATGATTTTCGTACAACGCTCATTTGAGAGCCGTAACTTTTTTTTTAATCATTTGAATGTCATAACTTATGTACACCGCTTACTTGAGTGTCATAATTTTTGTTTAGATCACTTGAGTGTCATATAATTTTTCAATTGATCACTTGAATGCCACAACTTTTTAAAAACATTCACCACCAGTGCCATGCCTGTCAAATTTTCAACACTCAAGTGAATGTTTTTGAAAAGTTATGACACTTAAGTGATCAATTTCAAATTATGGCACTCAAACTAACTTTTTTTAGAAGTTATGACACTCAAGTGTTTGAAAAAAAAGTTATAATTTTCAAATGAGCATTGTATGAAAGTTATGATACGTACTTATCTCGCTATTTTGATGAGAATCAAGAAATTTTGGAAGCGATAACAACTGCACATTTGCACTAAAGTTGATGCATCGATTAGAACTTGTAAGATTTTTCCATATTTCTTTACTTGCTCCTCAAATTAAAACTCTGCATCCGTCAGTGTCATGAAAGATAAACTCAACCGAGGGCAATTGGACACCACTCGACATTTTGTCATGAAGGATGACACTCAAGCTCAACCAAGTCAAAGATTAATACGAGAAATCCAAGGCTCGTCGAGAATGAGATACTTACATGATTTTTCGGGAAAAGTATAAGAAAAGTCATAAATCTATTACATTGGTGTCACTTTAGTCTTAAACATTTTAATGATACCAATTTAATCCTAAACATTTTGATTTAGTGCCAATTCAGTCATTCCGGCTAATTTTGGACGGATATTAACGACGTGGACACCGGTCGTGCCACGTAGGCCGGCCAACGTGGATATTTTTTTAATAATATTGTAATAATTTTCGATTTTTTTTATTTTTTTCCTTTCTTTTTTTCTCTCTTTTTTTTCCCTCATATTTCCGGTGGCCGTCCCGGCCTTGCCAGATTTAGCGAAGGTGGCCTCACCGGCGCTCGCCCTTGCCCTCGCTCAGGCAAGGCCAGTCCTCACCAGCCATGGCCGTGCCGGCCATCGGAAAGATGAGGGAAAAAAGAGAGAAAAAAAAAGAAAGGGAAAAAAAGAAAAAAATAGAAAATTATTAAAATATTATTAAAAATGTCCACATCGGTGCCAATCGGTTTACGTGACACGACCATCATCCACGTTAGTAATATCTGGCTAAAATTAGCCGGAAGGACTAAATTGGCACTAGATCAAAAGGTTTATAACTAAATTGGCACCATTAAAAGTTCATGACTAAATTGGCACAAATGCAATAGATTTAGAACTTTTCTAACACTTTTCCCCATGGTTTCCTCTCTATTTGTAGAGGACTAGAGGTGATGTCTTCAAGATCATCTTTTAATACCCTGTCCATGTGTGTGTATGTACATTCCGTTTCAACAAAAAATGATGAAATATCTTTCGAAGTATTGATGGATCAATAAGTGATCGACAATGTGAGATTTTGTGGGATCACTACCAACTGTTCTAAAAGCTTAGGCTGTTAGATGAAAGCATGATTTAATATTTAAATATTTTAACACTTTCTCTCACGCTTCGTCTGGCCTTTTTGCCGACTACTAAGCATGGAAATATTTAATTAGAGAGGCAAATAGGGGCCTAGAAAGATTTGAACTCAGGACATCCTGCACTTTTGGATTTCTCTCACTCCAAAAGCTAGCTTAAAGGGTGAGGCTTTCCCTCACACTTATAAACCGACCACCAGCTCATTCTACAAACGATTTGAGATAAACCCCAACAATCTCCCCCTCATACATTAGGCCTTGGGTCAGAGCAAAAATAACCCATATCTCCCGTGTGACTGTTGGGTCCAGATTTGTTAGTAACCTGCGCTTTGATACCATGTGAGATTTTATGGGGCACTGCCGACAGTTGATAGTGGTCCCATAAATTCTCACAAATAAAGATTGCGAATGGTCCCTTGTTGATTTCGAACAAGAAAGTAAATAACAAGAAATTTGAAGGTATAAAAACTGAAGACAATCGTGTTTGTTTGTTTTTTTTTTTTTGTTCATCCATGTAAATTGCAGAAAAGCAAAGATAAAGACAAATTTACATAACAACGTTGAAACTATGATGATTGGGGGTTTACAAAAAGTACACCTAGGTATTTATAACCCTCTACCGATGGTTACATACAACAGCTACTAAATTTGAATAAAGAAATGACTTCCTAGTCCTATCGATGGTTACAAGCAGTTGCACAATCTCATATTATCTAGCAACACTTATCCACTAGAAGTTACAAGCATTCTATAGAAGTAGCTACCAGCGATTATATTCTTGTGTCGATTTATCATCGTTGCCTCCAAGTTCCAACATTTAGTAAATTCATCAATAACCGTTGATGGCCTTGTCAACTGGTGAAGACTCTTATCAACATCTGGTGATGTCTGTTACTGATGACTTCCTTGAAGGGTTGTCGATTCCCTTTGAATCATCGATTTTTTTTGCTCATTATTGACCAAAATCTACTCCCATCTAATACTTGTCATTAAAAACCAAAAGTTGTCAACACATACATTCTCAAAGATTTATATTGTTTTCAAATTGGTTTGATCATTCCCAATTATAATGGCCAAAATTTCTGTTGTTACTAAAAAATCTATCTCAAGTCTTCAAGTCTTAAGTTAAAGTATTCATTCTACTCGGAGAATATGCATATCTAATGAAGTAGGTCGTGTCGTTTTAATTATTTTTAGACTAACATTGTTTGATTGCCCGAAACCGTTTTGGAAAATGACTACCTGTTATGGTAGTGCTTGAGCAGAACTTTCATCTCAAAATAGGTCTTGAGGGCTATTTTTTCAAAAAGAAAATGTTAAGGACTATTATATACAGTTTTACAAATAACATATACATGAGACAACGAAAAAAAATGCCCGTCAAATTTGATTTTTCTCCTTATAATTACATCCACCAATATTATTGTTTGGCAAAAATGAAGAAATCATGAAGTTATTGGGAAGTTATTGGGAAGTTTCCAAGAAATCATGCCTGACGTTATGTTTAATGGAGAATATGACGTTCATTTGCGAATATGTTCAACAAGAAATAGTCATGGGATAAATTAAAGGATGTGCATACAAACTGCACTAATGATTGCATCGACGGACAAAAGTCAAATAGCAGAGTCAAGTCTAGTCGTTCTGTCGGGTACTAACTGCTAGAGTAACTAAATAGAGAGATAGAGAGAGGTGTTTGACAATTCAATAGCAAGCTGCAAGAGCAAACTGTGGAGGATGAACCGGGAGAAGATGATCCTGGCAATGGCCTTCTTTGTTCTCGTGCTTGTTT